GCACAACTCCGACACCGGGACCGCAAGCTGCTCCTCGGCTACCACCGGCACACTCCACGCCAGCACCCCCAGAGGGAACACCCCCAGGGCCCGAAACCCCTCGAGGAAAGGTACCACCCCCAGGGCTACCGGGATAGCACGCACTCCAGCGCCAGCACCCCCAGAGTCAACGAACGGGTGCTGTGACGGCGGCAGCGGCGGCAACGACAACGACGGCTGCGGCAGCGGCGGCAGAGGTGACAACGGCTGCGACAGCAGGGGCGACAGCGGCGGTAGAGGCGGTGGAGAAGGGGACACCAGGGGAGGGACAGCCGGCGAGGACTGCGCCGCAGGACCACCAGAGTCGGAAGACTCCTCAACCGGGACCACCGACGGAAGAGGGGTGACGTGGGACACACCAGAGGGGGCAGGACGGGGAGGAGGAGGGGGGGGGGCAGGGACTACCGGGGAAGGAGTGACCAAGAATAGGGGGGGGTAACCGGGGGACCGCGGTGGGGGAAGCGACGGTAGAAGGAGACGGACTCGTCAAAGGTGACGTCGCGAGAGTGAAAGAAGCGGTGAGACGGCGGGTGGTAGAAGTGCCAGTCGGACGCGTCAAGGGGAAAACCGAGGAAGACGCAGGGAAGGGTAGGGGCAGTGAGCTTGTCCGTGCCGGAGGCACGGACGTGAGCAAGGCAGCCCCAGACGTGGAACGCAGACGCGTCACCAGGAGACCCAGTCCAAAGACGGGTCGGCGACACCTGCGGCTGCTGGGGGTGTGGCCACAGGTTAAGCTAGTGAGAAGCGTAACGCACAGCGAACGGCCACAGAAAATGGGGTGCACCGGCATGGATCATGGAGGTGCGAGCCACCTCCATGACCAAACCGATGCGTCGCTCAGCGACCCCATTCTGCTGTGGGGAGTCCGGTAGGGTGAACGTCTGGGTGATGCCCTCCGCACGACAAAAGCGACCAAGGACACCTGAGGCAAACTCGCCACCACGGTCGGAGTGAAGGCGCAAGACAGGGAGACCTCGGTGGACACGGGCAGAGACAAGCAAGGGGATGAGAGCGGCAGGCACGTCGGCCTTCCGCTCCAGGGGAAAGACCGAGGTGTAGCGAGTGGAGTCGTCGACAAGCACAAGGAAGTAGCGCTCTCGACGCGGCCCATGGACGTTGGCGGGGCCCCAGACGTCCATGTGCAGGGTCTGCAGCGGCGCGGCGGTAGGGGGAAACGAGGAGGAGTGAGAAGCCGACCCTCGACGCAAAGCGTGCAAGGTTGGGCTGGGGAGGAGGGAAAAGCGGGGAGAGTACCAGGGAGACCAAGGACGAGACCGTCCTGGGACATGTGACGCAGGGCAGGCGCGGCGGGGCTAGGCAGGCGCGGCGGGGCCAGGCAGGCGCGGCGGGGCTAGGCAGGCGCGGCGGGGCCAAGCACGCGCGGCGGGGCCAGGCAGGCGCGGCGGGGCCAGGCAGGCGCGACGGGGCTCGGCAGGGCGCGACGGGGCCAGGCAGGGCGCGACAGGGCCAGGCGGGCGCGACGGGGCCAGGCAAGGCGCGACGGGGCCGAGCGGGCGCGACGGGGCCAGGCAGGGCGCGACAGGGCTAAAAGGCGTGAAGGGGCCCAGGAGGGGCGCGACGGGGCCCAGAAGGGGCGCGACTGGGCTAGGGGGGTCGCGACGGGGCCGGGGGGGCGCGACGGGGCCCAGGAGGGGCGCGACTGGGCTAGGGGGCGCGACGGGGCCCAGGAGGGGCGCAACGGGGCTAGGGAGTCGCGATGGGGCCAGGGGGGCGCGACGGGGCCCAGGAGGGGCGCGACGGGGCTAGGGGGGCGCGACGGGGCCAGGAGGCGCGGCAGGGCCCAGGAGGGGCGCGACGGGGCTAGCTAGGGTACGGGCGGAAGCGGTTGGTGGGGGATCCTAACCTACGCGTGATACCATGTTAAAGTGAGAACTGAATGATTATGTAGAGCGGGGAATACAGGTGAATATACCTAAGTGTAATACCCTCTAAGAGGTGGCCCTATACAATCTATGCAAACATAGGAGATACAGATGTTTGACACTAATTGCCCTCTGCTCGGGTGAAGCAACGTACATCGCAACAATCACAGCTGTTCGCGAAGGTCTTTACCTAGAGGAATTGCTGCAGGAGGTGAAACTCAGCACTTCGCCAACATTCAAGTTACACTGCGACAACCAGAGTGCAAGCAAGATTGCTAACAAGCCCGTATTTGTCAATCGTACAAAACACATCGCCCTGCAATACTTCTTCGTCAAGGACGAAATCGACAAAGGGAAAGTGGACCTAACATATTGTCACACTGGTGAAATGGCAACTGAATTCCTCACCAAGAAGCAGCCACGTCAACAGTACTTGCATTGCGCCGAGCTCTCTGAAATCTCCCAATATTACTTCTAGAATGGTGTTTACAAATGGATTCTTGTTTTGTAAAAACCATTATAGATATGTCTCTATGTACGGGGCTATTGCTGTGTGGCTACAATGTCTCCAAACCCGAACCACAGCACGGCATCCGAGCAGCACTGTCACGGACGTGTCGCTCGGGTTCAAAAGGGAATCCGAGCCGTTACAGAGGGATCGTTTTTAGGCCAATGTTGATAGGGCAAATGCCTTCACATTCCTGGTCTGACTATCGAAAAGAGTATTTGAGTTAAGGGCACCCCGTAATGCTGAAGGACAGTTTGCCCAGGCCCTCCCTTCGACTCCCACCCTCTCCCCGTTTACTATCTCTCTTTGTCCTTTGCCCCTTGTCCCTGTAACCTACAACTTAGCTGAGCACCTCTGCTTCCCACTGTCGAAATTAACTGATTCCCTCTGTTGCGAAATGAAAACCAGCACATTGAACAAAGCAGACACAGGCGGAAGGTGAGTTACGGATATTTTTTAATTTATCTGGGAGAGTCAAGTGCTTGCCCCAGACGAAAATTCAGTTCTCGTCCCTTGATCACCCTTGTGTTCATTCCACCGATTTTTGCCGTGGGCAGTGGCTGGGTGGGTGGCACTCGAGGAATCATTTCGCGCTGTTCTACAGCCGCTCTTTGCGTTCCGCTCCGCGACGCTCTGTCAGGGCTCCCGCAAGTACACCTGTATTCTTTATTGTCGCATACGGAACAGTCAAATTTGAATCCCACCTGCCAGGTCCTCAGGATGCAGTCTGAACTAGGGCTCACGCTAAGCTTTTTTGGAGCTCTGTTTCTCCCGGATTCCCCACCCCCCTGCACCCTGATTCGTTCGGATTTCAGGGTAGTTGTTTTCTGTTTCATCTGGATTCAGGTACAAAGTTACTTTTAGCCGAGTTACAGCAAACATTGACTCGGACATGTCACAACATTCAAGGTCGAAATAGGGTAACATTTGCGGAGTGAAAAAAAAAGTACTTTTGGATTTGTTACGTTAAGAGTGTTAATTTCTTCCGCTAGTTTTCTGACAAACCCGCTAAAGTAGGGTAGAATCTGTGTCAGCAACCTTCACAACTTTCTGGGTTGCGAGAAGTGGAAAGAGGGGAACGCGGCTAAACGTTTTTAGCCAAGTCTTCCTAGCTGCGTAGGCGTGCGGGACTGTAGGAGGAATTTGCCAGTCTGTGAGGGACGCCAAATATTCTAGGTTTAGGGTGGCCCGGGTGGGAGGAGTCTCTCTGTGTAAAACTCTCTAGGTGTAAGGGAAACTTAGTCAAATTCTCTATGTTATAGGGTAAAGGCAGGAATGTTCCTGCAATGAGGGCTAGCCGAAATTTATAAGTTTCGTGAGTGTGGGTAGGAGGCCTATATCTATTTGGGAGGGACTTAGCCGAATTCCTCTATGGTCCAGGAAGGAATGTTCCTGGCTGTGACAAACTTAGCCGAAAATTCTGGGTTTCGGGTGGTGCGGGTGTGAGGAGTACGGTATGTCTGTGTGTGGGGGATTTCGCAATTTTTGCTTGGTTGTGGGGTTAAGGAAGGAATGCTGCTGGAAGTTGGGGACTTAGCCGAATTTTCTGAGTTGTGCGGGTGTGGGAGGAGTTATTACTGTGTGTGAGGGACTTAGCCGAATTTCCTGGGTTCGGGGGCTCCGTGCGATTGTTTCTGAAATTTGGGGACTTAGCCGGTAAAATGTCTCTGCCACCCTGGGTGCCAGGAGGGGGGAAGGGGAGGGAGGGGGGGGGGGGGGGTGTATTTATTGACAGTTGCAGCCGGATTGCCTCCCCAGCGAATTCTGATATGCCCGGAGCCCCCCGTAACGCCACTTCTATAAATTCCGGAAACCCCGATAAATCGACCCGTTCAAATTCCGGAACGAGCCCAGCGCCAACTCTTAATGTTTTTTCATTCCGGGTAATTACCCTTAAAAAATAGGCCCTGGTCTGAACCTGATCGGGTGCAGTCTGAACGATAGCGAACAGTCAAGTTGTGTTTCAACAATTGCGAGAATCCGAAATGGAACATCGCATTGGCAAATTATCTCGCGCATGAGTGAGAATATGTAACCAGGTGAAAGTGCTTACTGTGGGTTTTCCCTTCAATGTCCCGTTTGCCCGGGTTTGACATTTTCCAAGACGCGTTCGAAAAACACAAAAAACAATGGGAGAAAAGGTGTATGACTATTGTCCCCGCAATTGTGTAACCTCTGGGAGCTGGGAGCAACGGAATCTGCTGGGATCATTGTCCCCCATCTCCCCCCTCCCCTCTCCCCGAACCCATTCACTTCCCCGAGGGCGCGTCGCACAGCGTTCGTTTTCCTCCAAAAACACACCCAACCGCTGCTTTATGAAGTGGTAGCCCTCTTGACCGCGATGAGTCTCACCGAACCGCAAGTTTAGTGAACTTCCTGACACTCCCTAGTTGGCGATCGGCCTTGGGTTTGGTTCGGTTTTCGCCTGCTGCCTCTCTGCTGGCAGCAGGGAAGTGTGGTTTGTTGGGCTGGTCTGGTTCGGGTGTGCGTGCATCCAGTTCGATTCACCATCCACCCATCCATTCATCTGTTGGCATTCCCAGCGCTGCGGCAGACAGCTCCTTTTAGGTTTAGCCGTGGTCCGTTTCGATTCCTCCTAGCCCCTTCTCAGATGCCTTTCCAGCTACGTACTACAGTACAGTACTGACAGCTGAGGCAAATAGTTTAGTTTAGCGAACACGCTGACCCGTTTCGGTCCTAACTTATTCAAAGGAGCTCTCAACCACGCGCCTGGATGCATGTTCCGCTAGTCTCGTCGCATTACCAGCTGTTTTCCAGGACATGCCAACCCAGCTCCCAACCATTAGTCAGTCGCATAGTCGCGAGAGTGGCGAAACCGACGACATATGCGAAAGCCACTGGGAGAATGGGGTTACTTCGGTCCATTCGCCGGTGAACTTCACAATGACGAAGAGAGAGCGAGCGCTGCAGATGTGCGGCGTGCTTAGCGCTAACCGATTCTGTAGAATGGGATTTCCGGACCGAGACGCGGGGGAAGATGACGAGGAAGCGCAAAAGGTGGGGGGTTCGGGAGGCGGTTCGAGCAAAGCTAAGAAGGATGCGATGACGAATAAGGCGAAGCCGGAGGGAGCGGAAAAGGAAGCGGGAGCGGGAGAGGGAGCGGATGAGGGAGCGGAGGAGGATGACGCGCTGCTGGTGAAGCCGCCGTCGAAGCGACAGCAGCTGATGCTGCACTTCCAATCCCCCGTTTTTATCACACGTCTAGTAATGATGGTGCGTGCGAGGGTTCGCCGCCTAGGACGAGCTCACCGCTTACGACTACGGCTAATTGCGACCTGAGGACCTCCGCTGCACACGAGTCTGGGATTGCCATCCCATGCGTCCTCTCTTGAATCTAGGTCTCTCGAATCTGGTCTCTCGAAACTAGGTCTCTCGAAACCAGGTCTCCCATCGGACAGCTCGGGGTCAAACCCTAACAGATCAGATCGGCTCAGGACATCGCTCCCTCCGCCTCTAGACCGTTGGTTTCTCTTCTTTTCTGCCGGTTCTAGCTTCCTCTGCCGCTCTCTCGTCGCCCGTTGGCGGTGACGCTGTGTGCTGATGTGTGATTTGGGCTCCCTCGTTCCTTGCCTCATTTCCTTGGTTTGTTCGATCCCTCGTTCGTTGCTTCCCTTGGTTCCGTCCGTCCTTCCTTCCCGCAGGCGTTTCTCGTGATCGTGGTGGTTGTGCTTACCGTCGGCACATGGTACGCCGCGAGAACCGTCTACAGCCAATCGCTTGATGCGGTCGCGCTTCAGTACGTTCTCCCCCCTCCCCCCCCCCCCCCCCCCCGCGCGCCTTTTCGCTCCCCTCCCTCCTCCTTTCGCTCCCTTCCCCCCACTTTTCGCTCCCCTTCCCCCCCCTTTTCGCTCCCCTTCCCCCCCCTTCTTCGCTCCCCGCTTCCCCACGCGCTCCCCGCTTTCTCCTCTTACGTCCCCCTTCCCGCTTTCCCATCTTCCTTCCCCCTCCCCGCGTTTCCCTCCCGCCATTTCTCTGCGCCACAATCGCCGCACGCGATTCCCTGGCAACCATCGTTGATTCGACCTACGCGATTTGCGCGATTTTCCGCCTTGCCGGGTGAATTGCGTCAATTTCCTCTCCTCCTGGTTTCCTGCTGACCATTGCTTTCGTTCATAAACTGTCTGAGCCGCTCGTAAAGCCCTATGTCGAGTCCACTTGTGCCGGATCTATCGTCGCTGCAGCGCCCGAGCCGCTCTAAGAGACCAAGTTAAGGCATATTTGGTCAATCGCGTTGTTAGATCCCCATCTCTCCTCGCTCTCCTCGCTCTCCCATCTTCCCTGCTAACAGTCGCAACGACTGTCCTCTCGTTCCGTCATACCCGCTCCCCTCGTTGTAGAGGATTCTCCAGCACGCGTTTCCTCTGCCCTCCCACTGCCACCTCCCACGCTCTTCCCCCCCGGGCTGCGCGAAAAGGCCCTAGCAGGCGTGCAGGAGCGGTTCCTGCGGTACATAAACCGCGACCCACACATGCTCGTGCCCTCCCTAACGGATACGTAAAAGACAAGTTTCACTCCTCTCCCCTCCTCCCCCCCATTTCCCCCTTTCCCCCTTCTCCCCCCCCCCACTCCTCCTGTCCACACCCCCTGCAGGCTGCGCGAAAAGACCCTAGTAGGCGTGCAGGAGCAGTTCCTGCTGTACATAAACCGCGACCCACACGTGCTCGTGACCTCCCCTTCCCTTCACCTGCTACCCGCCCCCCTCCGCCCGCGCCCACACCCCCCCCGCCCCCCCCCTCCTCTTTTATCCAACCCCCTGCAGGCTGCGCGAGAAGACCGTAGTGGGCGTGCAGGAGCAGTTCCTGCTGTACATAAACCGCGACCGCGACGTGCTCGTGCCCTCCCCTTCCCTTCACCTGCTACCCGCCCCCCTCCGCCCGCGCCCACACCCCCCCCGCCCCCCCCCCTCCTCTTTTATCCAACCCCCTGCAGGCTGCGCGAGAAGACCGTAGTGGGCGTGCAGGAGCAGTTCCTGCTGTACATAAACCGCGACCGCGACGTGCTCGTGACCTCCCCTTCCCTTCACCTGCTACCCACCCCCCCGCACGCCCCTCCCCCCCACCCTTAATCCACCCCCCTGCAGGCTGCGCGAAAAGACCCTAGTAGGCGTGCAGGAGCAGTTTCTGCTGTACATAAACCGCGACCGCGACGTGCTCGTGTCGTTCTCCTCCGTTCTAGAGACCACCTTCCGGCAGCTGGGCGTGTGGAACCTAACCCTGAACGATAACCTCAGACTGGTGAGTGGGCGGTGCGGCCAGGGATTGGTGGGAGGCAGGGGACCACCTTCAGGCAGCTGGGCGTGTGGAACCTAACCCTTAACGATAAACCTGAGCTGAGACTGGTGAGTGGGCGAAGGGGGTGGGGATTGTTGGGAGGCAGGGGAACCACCTTGAGGCAGCTCGGCGTGTGGAACCTAACCCTTAACGATAACCTCAGACTGGTTAGTGGGTCAAATGCCTGGGAGCGGTGGCAGGCGGTGGTGGGCGGTTGTAGGTAGGAGGGTCTGAATGCGTATACGTATGTGCATGCGCATGTGCACATGCTTGTGGGCCATGCACATGCCCATTCACGTGTGCCGACATCCACATGCCATCACGGGTGCATCCACATGCCATCACGGGTGCATCCACATGCCATCACGGGTGCATCCACATTCCATCACGGGTGCATCCACATGCCATCACGGGTGCATCCACATGCCATCACGGGTGCATCCATATGTCATCACGGGTATCCCCCCATTTCCCCCCATTTCCCCCCGTTTCCCCCCGTTTCCCCCCATTTCCCCCCGTTTCTCCTCGTTTTCCCCTGTTTCCCCTGCCCCCCTTCCCTCTCCTTCTACCCTACCTCCCTCCCCCCTTTTTTCCCCAGGCCCAGGTCCGTCCTTGATCTGGTCCTTTTTCAAGAGCTCCCTCCCGCACATCACTAACCTCGGCTACCACGGCATGACCGGCCCTTTTGTGACCTTTGCCTCACACTACGGCTCCCTCTCATTGGTCTACTCCTCCAACATCCTCACTAACTCAACCGCCCCTGCCACCATCCCCCCGTTTTCCCCCCGTTTTCCTCCGTTCCCCCTCCCCCCCCCCCCCGCCGTTTCCAGCCCTTCTCGCCCCTCTGTCTCCCAGGTCCGTCCCCTAGTCTGGTCCTTTTTCAAGAGCTCCCTCCCGCACGTCACCAACCTCGGCTTCTACGGCATGGCCGGCCCCTTTGTTTCCCTCCCGTCCTCCTTCCATCCCCTTCTCCCCTACCATCCCCTCCCCTCCCTCCCCGCCCCCCCCTCCCCTTTGTCTCCCAGGTCCGTCCCCTAGTCTGGTCCTTTTTCAAGAGCTCCCTCCCGCACATCACCAACCTCGGCTTCTACGGCATGGCCGGCCCCTGTGTGACATACGCGCAGTACGACGTGGCAAAGCAGTCCTTCGCCTCACAGGACGGCTCCCTCTCCATGGTCTACTCCTCCAACATCCTCACTAACTCCACCGCCCCCTGGTTCGTCCTGCCCGTAAACACCTCCTCCGGGCTGCCCGCAAACAAAACGCCCACGCCGTTCAAGCCGCTGCGGCTGGGCTCGATCGAGCTCTACCGGCAGATCGAGAGCGGGAAGGAGAACCTTCTGTGGACGTTCAACGCCATCCAGGACCTTCCAGGCCCGATGCTGGTCGCAAGCATGGCGGTGCACGACGCTGGGGGCTCCACCCCAGTCGGCGTGGTCATTCTGGGGTCCTCTGTGGGCATAGTGAACCGGTTTCTGGGCCAGGGGTCGATCGAGGGGTGCGTGATGTACATCGGGAGCTCCGAGGGGTTCCTGGTGGCGACCTCAACGGGCACAGCCACGTCTGCCCCCACCACGGACGGGCGCCTGCAGGAGTTCGTCAACGCGACGGACGTGGCGGATGGCACGATTGCGGGCGTGGCAGGGCATTTGGAGCGGGAGTACGGGCTGGCGGCGCTGGTGGCGGGGAATTATAGTCTGAGCAATGTGGAGGTGGCGGGGAGGGCGTGGTACGTCAGCAGCATGGGCTTCGCGGTTGATAACCTGAGACTGGTGAGTTGATACGCTGAGACTGGTGAGTTGATACGCTGAGACTGGTGAGTTGATACGCTGAGACTGGTGAGTTGATGCGCTGAGACTGGTGAGTTGATACGCTGAGACTGGTGAGTTGATACGCCGAGACTGGTGAGTTGATACGCTGAGACTGGTGAGTTGTTACGCTGAGACTTGTGAGTTGATACGCTGAGACTGGTGAGTTGATGCGCTGAGATTGGTGAGTTGATGCGCTGAGACTGGTGAGTTGATACGCTGAGACTGGTGAGTTGATGCGCTGAGACTGGTGAGTTGATGCGCTGAGACTGGTGAGTTGATACTCTGAGACTGGTGAGTTGATACGCTGAGACTGGTGAGTTGATACGCTGAGGCTGGTGAGTTGATACGCTGAGACTGGTGAGTTGATGCGCTGGGACTGGTGAGGTGAGTTGATAAACTGAGACTGGTGAGTTGATAGTCTGGGACTAGGGAGTCAATAAGCTGAGGCAGGTAAGTTGGTAAGCCGAGACTGGTGAGTTGGTAAGCTGAGGCTGGTGAGTTGGTAAGCTGAGGCTGCTGAGTTGATAACCCAAGGCTGGTGAGTTGATAAGCTGATGTTGGGGAGCTAATAACCTGAGGCTGGGAGGTTGATTAGCTGTGACGTGTGAGTACATATAAGAGGAGGATAAGGGACATGATTAGGGTGGCAGATGTGCCCAGTCAGGTGGACACACGCCCTGTCAAATTGTGTGGCTGCTGCTGGGGTAACGGACACACGCAATGGAGCTGCTACTGGGGTAGGTGATGATCGTCTTCCCCTCCCCTCCCTGTCGGATCCCTTGGCCCTTGTCGTCTCATTCGCTCCTCCCCTCTACCCTACCTACTCCCCCCCGCTTCAACGCCACCAGTACCTGGTGATAATCCTCCCGCGCTCGTCCATCATGGGCACGGTGGACCAGGAGATGGAGACGATGATCATCGTGACCTCGTGCGTGGCGGTGGGGCTGCTGCTGCTGGGGTGGGTGGTGGTGATCTTCCTCACGCTCTACGTGGACACGCGCATGCGCCCCAAGGAGGAGCTGCAGCGCCAGAAGGAGGAGACTCAAAGGGCGCAGGCGGCCTCCGAGGTCAAGAGCCAGTTCCTGGCGAATATCTCGCACGACCTCCGCACGCCCATGGCTGGGTGAGTGAAGCAGTTTTCTCTGCCTCTCTCATTTCACACATCTTACATCAGTCGATCCCTCCTTTCTCATCCTCCACTCCACCCCAGACCCATCCCCCATCCCCCCTCCCCCTTCCACCCCCCCCCTTCCCGCGCAACCCGTTTCTCCGTCCTTGCCGTTTTTCTCCACCCCTTGTCCTCCCTACGCCAGCATCCTGGGTCTACTAGACATCATGCTCTGTGACCACCTGAGGGCAGAGCAGGACCTGGCCAAGATGGAGGCGGGCAAGATGCAGCTGCAGGTGCTGGAGTTTGACATGCCTTGCACCCTCCACCCCTCCACCTCAACCACTCCCGTTTGTCTCCCTCATGTCGCCCCTGTTGCAGGATTCTTGGTCTGTTAGACATCATGCTGTGCGACCACCTGACGGCGGAGCAAGAAGCCAACCTGCGGCAGATGAAGTCGTGCTGTGCTTCCCTACTCGGTCTCCTCAACAACCTGCTGGACCTGGCCAAGGTGGAGGCGGGCAAGATGCAGCTCGAGGTGCTCGAATTTGACATCGTGGGCGAGCTCGAGTCCCTCGTCGACATGTTCTCCGTTCAAGGATTGAGCAATGGGACCGAGATTGCGCTGGACCTGTCGGATGATATCGAGCGGACTGTGAAAGGGGACCCGTCGAGAGTGCGGCAGGTGTTTGCCAACCTGCTCAGCAACGCGTGCAAGTTCACGAGGAACGGGCAGGTCATTGTGAGGGGGTGGATGAGACACAACCCGCCGCCCCACCTTCGAGACTCGGACCTGTCGATACCCGGGGAGAAGAAGTGAGTGGGCGGGAAGGGAGAATGTCTATTCCATGCCTGGGAAGAAGAGGGGAGCTGCGGGAATGAGGGAGGGTACTCTCTGTACTGGACATGTCTTAGAAACAGACCCAAAGACTCCGAGCTCTTGTGTTTGGGGGAGAGGAAGTGAGAGGAAAGGAGGGAGGATCTCTGTGCTACTTCTAGGTGCCGGAATTACAGACTCAGAAACCCGGATCTTTGCATTCCCGCGGAGTAGAAGGGGATGGGGTGGGGAAATGGGGGAGAGAGGGGGAGAGGAGCGGAGTGGAGGGACTGGTGGGTGATGGGGAGGGGACGGGGTGGGTCAAGAGGGGGAGTGGATGGGAGGTGGGGAGGAAAGGGTAGGAGGGTATGGGGCTGGGATGGGGGAGAGTAGGAAGGAAGGATTCAGGGGTAAGGGAGGACTAACAAAAAGGCCCAACCCTTCACAGCCTCAAAATAGATGGTGACTGCCACTTTTCCTCCTCCCCCTCCCTCTGCTCCCCTCCCCCCCCTCTCCCCCTCCCCCCCCACTCTCCCCCCCCCCCACCCGTCCCCCTCCCCGCCGTCCCCCTCTACTTCCCAGTGATCCATTCGCAGTCTCTTGATGCCAATAGTCACTTCCCCCCATCCCCCTCTCCCCTGCCGCCCCTATTACTTCCCAGGCGGGCCATTCACAGCCCCAACCTTGATGCTGACGGCTCTGCAGGCGGCGCCACAGCAGACACAGCAGGAGGGGCGGCCGCAGACGTGTCTGAAGCTGCAGCAGCGGCAGGAGCAGCAGCAGCAGCAGGGGGGGGAGGAGGGGCGGTGGGAGGGGCGGTGGGGAAGGAGGGGGGGGTGCGGGAGCGGCGGATGGTGACGTTCATGTTTGAGGTGGACGACACGGGCCCGGGCATTCCCGCGCACAAGAGGAGCCTCGTGTTTGAAAACTTCCAACAGGCAGACGCCTCCACCAACCGCACCCACGGGGGCACGGGGCTCGGCCTCGGGATTGTCAAATCACTGGTATGTGTTTGCCACTTGTGTTTCACTCTGCCCACTTGGAGCATCATTCCTCCCGTGCTGCTTCCGCGTTTTCAGTGAAAACTTTTCACCTCTCTCCCACTGTTGCCCTCAGCAAGGTGTAGTCTCAACCACCTATTGTCCCCCCAACTGAACTCTCCTTCCTCCTCAATTTCGCCTCTCCCCTTCCCTGCGTACTGCCTCCCTCCTCCCCCATCTCCGGTGCAACTGTTGGGCAGCACATAGCCGTGGTGGGCACGGAAGGCCGCAAGTCTCACCGTGGAGAGGGTTCGCACTAACGCAGCTTGTTCATGAAAGTTCCTCACAAGTGGATCGCAGCTCTTCCCGCTCTTTCTCCCCCCCCACCACCCAGGTTCAACTGATGGGCGGGCACATAGCTGTTTTGATGCGGGCTCAAAACTAGTCCCCCCCCCACCACCCAGGTGCAACTGATGGGCGGGCACATAGCTGTTTTGAGGCGGGCTCAAAACTAGTCCCCCCCCCACCACCCAGGTGCAACTGATGGGCGGGCACATAGCTGTCGTCGACAAGGAAGGCCAGGGTGCGCGCTTCCGCTTCGACCTGCGCTTTGAGGCGCTGGACCACAGCAGCGTGTGGAAGAACAGCATGCTGCAGCCCGAGTTCCTCCTGCCCAAGCTCACCACCGTCGAGGGCGGCCAGGTGCTCCTCGCCATGAGGGAAGAATCCGCCGGCGCCGCCATCGCGTGCGCGTGGCTGGAGCGCAGGAAGCTGCACGTGTGGCGGGTCACGCAGTGGGGAGACATCATGCCGGCTGTTTCGTCCATGCTGGTGCATAGAGCGTCCGACCGGGCGGGCTTGCAGCCGAGAGGGACACGGTCGATGGTGGGTTTCTCGGCGCCGCTGGCCCAGTCGTTCCAGCCAGGGAGAGAGGGGAGCGGGAGGGAGAGGATGGGGGGAGGTGGTAGCGGTGGGGGAGGAGCGGGAGGAGCGGGAGGGGGAGGGGGGAGGGAAGGGGCATTTAGTCCGATTCCTGAGGGAGACGGGAAGGGGCACCAGCATCAAGGGGCATCGTTTAGGGAAGGGGGAGGTGCCACCAGCACTGGCGCTGCTGCTGCTGGCCCGGCGGGGCTGCCTCGCCCCACCACTCCCCGAGACCGCGTTCCGCCGAGCCAACCCTATGCCGCAGGCTCGTTAAACAGCCCTGTTCCTGGATCGGTCCCAAGCCCAGCAACATCTGCAGCACCAAGTAGCGCAGGTTCGGGCCGAGCCATGTCCTCAGCCTCGGCTAGCTTCCGAAGGTCCTTCGGGGAGTCGGGCAGGGTCAATAGCCCCGGAATGGTGGGGGACGATGGTGCAGGTACCCCCGGTGGCACCAGCTCCGGCTCATCCAACTCCCGGCTAGTCCTCGCGATAATCGATGTGTCCCTCGTCCCAAACCTCTACCAGTTCATAGCCGAGGAGCTGCACATATTCCGAGCCAGGCTGCAGCACCAGGGGTTTGTGATCGCATGGCTGGTGGAGCACAACACGTCGGCTGACACTAGGAGGTCCCTGAGAAGGTCGGGGTGTGCCGTGGCGTCGAAGCCGCTGTACGCATCAAGGATGGCGCCGCTGCTGGCGCTGGCCACGGCGAGGAACGGCGTGGCGCACTCCAGCTCAAGTATTGACATGCCGCCGCTGCCCGGCGGAGGGCCGGGGAGGCGGGAGCAGGGGGGAGGGGGAGGGGGAGGTGGATCGGGGAGTGGTGGGGGAGGCTCGGGGCAGCACTGGCATGGGGAGGACTCGGTGAGACATGCTCCCTCCCTACTGATGTAAAATGCTTTGGAGTTTTCTTAGAATCCTGAGAAAGACTGCCAAACCAAACAGAGTTGCTCCCTCCCTCCCTCCCCCCCTCCCCTGCCGCTTTGGTCGCCAAGCGCTGGTTTGCTCTCGGTTGCCCAGTGGCATGCTGGCTTGTTCTCTAAACCTCGTAGGAGTTTCTTCTGTCTGTTGCGTATGCCGTCTCCTTGTCCCCCTCTGCTGCCCCTCATCCTCTCCTCTTGGCCCATCCCTCAGAGCTGGTCGCTGCCCCCACCAGTGGAGGAGGAGGAGGTGCAGCCCGCGGACAAGCAGGCATCCACCCTGCCAGCTGGCGGCTCTGCCACGTCAGCCGCTGCTGGATCGCGCATGGCGCTGCCCTCCCCGGCGTCGCTGGCAGCAGCAGCAGGGGGGGTATCACCTGCTGCTAGGCGAATGGGAGGGGGTGGGGGAGGAGGATTGGGAGGGGGAGGAGGAGGAGGGGGACTGGGAGGGGGAGGAGCACTGGGGTCTCCGGGAACTCCTGGTGGTGTGGGTGGGGAAGGGCCAGGGGCAGCAGGGGGGGCGGGAGGGGCAAGCGAGAGTCATAGGGATGGGGGCAAGGGGTCAACGCACAGAGTGGCGCGCACTCGGTCGATCAAGGTATGTGTGACCGAGGAATTAGTGGTGCATGCATGGGGAAACAGTAGGTGCTATGTGGTGGTGCCCCAGTGTGTGTGTGTGTGTAGGCGTGTTTTGGCAATACGTGCCTTTCCTTCCCCATCCCCGCAATAAACTTTTCTACCTCTAGCTATCCCCTAGTGTGTGTGTGGCTATCCCCGAAATGTCCTACTTACCATCCCCCCCACCTCCTTGTTTCGCACTCCTCTCCTCGTCTCCCTCGCCCATTCCTCCCCTCCATCCCTCCTTATGGTGTGCCTGCTGCGTTTCTACGCCTCCCTGTGCCCATAGTAACACAGGCCATGCCCTGTGATTCTTACCCCATACCATACCCTGCTCCGCTCTTCCACAATCCCCACTTCAGCACCAGCCGGGAGCAGCAGGAGATGGCCTTTCTGGCAATGCCTTGGCAGGCACGCAGGGCACCGCATGGCACTGCAGGGCACCGCATGTCACTGCAGGGCGGTTCCTCATTTCTAACCCCTCCACTTCCCCTCCCCCCTCCCCTCTCCCTTGGTCGTCTCCCTTCCCTGGCCACCGCATGGCAGCGTTCGCCTGGCGCAGCAGGGGAGGGCAATTTGAGCTGGTTTTTTAGAATTGGGTAAAAAGGCAGGTCCTCGTTGCTCATTCCCCCACTTTTCCTCCTCCCCCCTACTTTCCCCTCCTCCCCCCTACTTCCCCTCCTCCCCCCTACTTCCCCTCCTCCCCCCTACTTCCCCTCTTCCCCCCTACTTCCCCGCTTCCCCCCTACTTCCCCTCCTCCCCCCCCTCATCTCCCTTCCCTGGCCACCACATGGCAGCATTCGCCTGGCGCAGCAGGGGAGGGCAATTTTGAAAAAGCGCTGGCGGGCAAGCGGGTGCTGATAGCTGAGGACACTGCACTGCTGCGGAAGGTGGGTGGGGTGGGGAAATTGGGGGCATTTCTAGGAATGCGCTCTCGGGAAAGTGGGTGCTGATAGCTGAGGACACTGTGCTGGTGAGGAAGGTGCGTAAGTGGACCATTGACAGGGGGTGTGTGTGGCCGTTGGTCAGAGGCTGGTTTGGCAGAAGGATGGCGGACCATGCCGTGGTAGGGGGTGCTCACAGCTGGGGATGCTGCACTGCTGAGAAAGGCGAGTAGAATGCGTAGAGCCATGCAAGACACGCCTAAGCGGGTGGCCATTCTTTTAATTAGCCGTGCATCTCTATAGACCATTGCCTGCTGCTCTCGTATGAATGCATCCCCTGTTGAGGCTTCCTTCTCTCTTCCTCTGAGTCGTCAGCTAACTCACACCTTCCTCAACACCTCCCCTCGTCCCCCTTCCCCCAGGTGGCGATAATCCGAATGCAGCAGCTGGGGTGCGAGGTGGAGGCGGTGTGGGATGGGTGGTTGACTCCCTCTCCCCTTTTCTTCCCCTATCTCCCCTCATCTCCAACCAACCGCCTCCCTCCAGGTGGCCATAATCCGGATGCAGAAGCTGGGGTGCGAGGTGGAGGCCGTGTGCGATGGGTGGTTGACCCTCCCTCCCTTTTCTTCCCCTATCTCCCCTCAACTCCAACCAACCGCCTCCCTCCAGGTGGCCATAATCCGGATGCAGAAGCTGGGGTGCGAGTTGGAGGCCGTGTGCGATGGGTGGTTGACCCTCCCTCCCTTTTCATTCCCCTATCTCCCCTCAACTCCAACCAACCGCCTCCCTCCAGGTGGCCATAATCCGGATGCAGAAGCTGGGGTGCGAGGTGGAGGCGGTGTGTGATGGGCAGCAGGCAGTTGACACCATTCTGGCCACATACAAGGCTGCAGAAGAGGCACAGGGCGAGACAGAGGGAGGGGCGGCCAGGCGCTATGACGCTGTGCTCATGGACTGCCAGGTAGGGGAGAGAGATGGTGCCTTTATGGGTTGCCTGGTGGTGTGTGCTCCGCGACCCGTCCGCGATGCTGTGCACATGGACTGCCAGGTAAGGGGGATGGGGGGTCTTGGGGACTGCCAGGTAGGGGTGATGGCAGGTCTTGTGGTCTTGTGCTGCTCAACCGCTCTTGTGCTGCTGGGCGCTCTTGGACTGGGCGCTTTTGTGTCTCAACGCTAATCTTTCACCCCCCTCCCTACCCTAATCCCCTAATCCCCTTTTTTCCCCCTTCCTACCCCCTCCCCCCCCACCCCCACCCCCCCCCTCGAATGCCCGTACTGGACGGCTATGGCGCCACAACGGCCATCAGAGCAGCAGAGAGTAGTATTCGGTTCCACACACCCATAGTGGCGCTGACCGCACATGCCATGACGACTGACGAGAAGAAGTCCTGGATTCCAATTTCTCACCAATACCCCCAAACACCCACCCCACCCCACCACAAACCCCCCCCCCCCCTCTCGCCCCTCCCCCCCAGATGCCTGTACGAGACGGCTATGGCGCCACAGCAGCCATCAGAGCAGCGGAATTCAACACCGGCTACCACACGCCCATAGTGGCGCTCACAGCGCATGCCATGATGAGCGACGAGAAGTGCCTGGATGCCAATCCCTCACCGCCTTTTCCCCCTCCTCCCCCCCCTGCTCTCCAAACCCCCCGTTTCCCTGCCGCTCCCTCTCCTCCCCCCACGCCCTTCTCCAGATGCCTGTTCTAGACGGCTATGGCGCCACAGCGGCCATCAGAGCAGCGGAACTCAACACCCGGTTCCACACGCCCATAGTGGCGCTCACAGCGCACGCCATGACGAGCGACGAGAAGAAGTGCCTGGATGCCGGCATGGACGCTTACCTCACCAAGCCCATCGACCCCGCACTCATGGCGCACACGCTGCTCACCCTCATGAACAAGTACCCTCGCTGCTGCGTGCAGCAGACGGAAAGTATAGAGGAGGGTGCGACAGAGGGGGAGAGTGCAGCTGAAGGTGCTGCTGCAGGGGGAGTTGCTTCTTCTTCTGCTGCGGCTTCTGCTGGGGGGGCGCGGCCTGCCACTGCTCCTGCTGCTGCTGTGGTGGTGGCCGTGCAGCCGTGACAGCCCCAGCACTGCAGGCTGCAAGCAAGCAAGTGTCTGGAAAGGGGGGAGAGGGGGTGAGTGCAGCTGAAGGAGCTGCTGCAGGGGGATTTGCTGCTGCTGCTGCAGCTTCTGCTGCGGGGGCACGGCCTGCCACTCCTGCTACTGCTGCTGTGGTGGTGGCCATGCAGCCATGATAGCCCCACCGCCCACCAGGCTGCATGCAAGCAAGTGTCTCGATGGATGCAGGCATGGGCGCGTGCCTCCCCAAGCCCATCGACCCCGCACTCATCGCGCACATGCTGCTCACTCTTATGGTGAAATATCCGCACTGTTGCGTGCAGCAGAGTGAAAGTATCGAGGAGAGTGGGGCAGAGGGGGAGAGTACAGCTGACGGTGCTGCTACTCGCGGTGCTGCTGTTTCTGCTGCGGGGGAGCGGCCTGTCTCTTCTGCTGCTGCTGCTGCTGTGGCGATGGCCATGCAGCCGTGATCCGTTGCACCAGGCTGCGAAGAAGTGCCTGGATGGGGGCATACAATTTCTGAGAATGCTAAAGTGCACCCTGCAGAGTGTCTGGATGCAGGCATACGGCTGCTGCTGCTGCCCGCCCTGCCTCTCCTGGTTCCTCGTTCTGCGCCTCTGGTGATGGATGGCCGTCCATGCACCCCTGAACCAGCACAGTGGTGGGCGCCCTGCTATGTGAGCCAACCAGGGAGGTGTCAACAACGGGGTGCAGCTGACGCAACTGGGTACAACTGGGTACAACTGGGTACAACTGGGTACAACTGGGTACAACTGGGTACAACTGGGTGTCAACAGCGATGGCTTGCTCGGCCTGCTCTTGTGCCGGTGCTGTGCTTTCTCACGCATTCGTGCTCATCTCATGCACGAGTGCTGGTTGGTGCTTTGCAGCCTGGTTGACGGAGAAGGCATGGCCGTGAGAATGAGAGTTATGAAGGATCCACGCCCGTCAGCACAACGGCTCAACAGCACCAAGTTACTATGGTTTGGCGGCACCACGCCTCCGAAGCTCTGAGGCTTGGCAGCGGCGAGGCTTGGTTCACCAAGGTTTGCCAACCGGCTCGGTGGCACCCCTGCCTTGGCAGCACCACTGGTTCGGCAGCAACCCTGCCTCGGCAGCACGTACTCTGGCTTGGCAAGAGGCTTGGTGGTAGGGATGGTGTGACACCACTGAGACGTGCTTTGAGGCACCTCAACACACACTCCAGCAATGCTGACCGCTGCACCAGCAGTGTAACTGCTCCACTGAATGGGCCTGGCACTCTCTGAAAGGGAGGAGATACAGAATGCAGGGGCAGAGAGGGGGAGGGACAGAATGCAGGGGCAGAGAGGGGGAGAGGCAGAATGCAGGGGCAGAGAGGTGAAGGGGCAGAATGCAGGGGCAGTCAAAGGGAGAGGCGGAATGCAGGGGCAGAGAGGGGGAGAGGCAGAATGCAGGGGAAGTCAAAGGGAGAGGCAGAATGCAGGGGCAGAGAGGGGGAGAGGCAGAAGGCAGGGGCAGTCAAAGGGAGAGGCAGAATGCAGGGGCAGAGAGGGGGAGAGGCAGAAGGCAGGGGCAGTCAAAGGGAGAGGCAGAATGCAGGGGCAGAGAGGGGGAGAGGCAGAAGGCAGGGGCAGTCAAAGGGAGAGGCAGAATGCAGGGGCAGTCAAAGGGAGAGGCAGAATGCAGGGGCAGTCAAAGGGAGAGGCAGAATGCAGGGGCAGTCAAAAGGAGAGGCAGAGGGTACCGCAAGGTGATTTGAAGCAGGGCATGTGGAGGGAGGGGCAAGCAGGCTGGCACGTTCTGTGGTATACGTCTGTGAAGGATTGGGAGGAGATTCCCTGTTGCAAGCACGTGTGCAGGGCGGAAAGCAAACTCCGCGGTACAGGAGTGCTTGTCGAAGGGTTAAGCAGAATCCTTATGAGAGATCCGTGTGTGGCATTATAGTTGCGTTGGTGCCGGCTTTCTTAGGCTTGCTGTGGCTTGCGTTTGCTTGCTGTGGCCTTGTCTCTCTTCCTCACCATCGAAGCCATCATCCTGCTCTGTTGGGAGTGTCAATTAATTTCAATGAATCCAATGCCGAGCACCATAACCAGCACTGTCTTCATCACAATGCAATAAGGGGCTGCACCACCAGAGGTTCTTTTCAGCCTGATTTCCAAAAGCTGGCTGTATTTCCGGCCCTGACCTGAGTGGACCTGGCGTTGCATTGTGCGCCATTTGTTCATTCATTGCTCAGTGCATGTTTGCTCACTGCTGGCGTCTCAGAGTTAAAAATTTGACTAGAATGAGAGATACAAGGTGCTTTTGTGCTAAAGGGGCGGTCCTCTCTAAGAGTACGCACGTATCTAGCCTATAAGACGTATACATATAAGTTTTGACACACCCCCTAGGCTAGATGAGGGGCAGTGCCTGGTAAGAGACAAACAGCTCAAGGTGGCACAACTAGTCCAACCTCTGTGGCAAGGGTCCAAGGATCAGTCAGCAAGAGAACAAACTAAACAAGAGTAATCCTAGGTGGCAATACTAGTCCAGCCATTGGAACAGTAGCCACAAGGCCAGTCAAGAGATAAGAAGAGGTACACAATCAAGGTCCTAGCAAGTAAGAAGCTACAGGAACTAGACCAAGCTGTACACAGTGTCGCTGATGACCTTTAGGCGCAAGCGCCTTCGTAAAGTTATCACCTGTGTTGGCACCGGAGGCCAAGTGTACTACGCGGGCCTGGTGGCACTGCTGTGGCTCGCGCAGGAGGAAGTACCGTAACTAGATGTGCTTCGCTTTGCCCTCTTGTCGAGGCTCTGACATAGGAGGATCATGGCCCTGTTGTCAGCGTACAGGACCGGGGCAGAGCTAGGCCGCTCACCTAAGTCTGTAAGCAAGAAAGTCAGCTTGCGGACCTCCTATGCCACCATGGCACCGGTGTAGATCTCGGACTCAGAGCTAGACTGGGTAATAGACGACAAGCAGGTGGGCCTCCACGAGATGGCGACTGCACCAAGGCTAAAGTAGTAGCCCTAGGAGGACGTCAGCATCGTCCGCCACGAAGCGTCTGTCTGCCCTGTAAGAACCACTGGCCTGCGTCCTCCCAGCACTAGCCCCATGCCCCATGTACTTGCTAGAGAACGCAAAACCCTCTTAGCGGCCGATCAGTGCTGTGGTCGATGTCTGCCTATGGCCACAAAGCGAGTCAGGATGCTGAGGGGGTATGCATGATCTGGACGAGTGCAACTCATCAGGTACATGAGGCAACTCACCAGCTCTGCGTAAGGGCCACTAGGCTCTACACACTCCTCAGGGACTGGAGCCAAGAGCCAGTAATCTACTGGCAGAGGTGTGGGCTGTGCGAGGAGAACTGAAGGTCGAAACTCTGAAGGACCTGGTGCACCAAGTGTGACTGTGTAAGAGTGATGGTGCACGCTGCTCTGTCCCTGGAGATCTACAGGCCAATGTAGTAGCGCAACTCTCCTAGGTCAGTGTAGGTGTGTCTCCTCAGCAACTCATTCTTCACAAAGGCCAGTGCGTCTCTGTCTGCAGTAGCGAAGACCGGGTCATCTACGTAGACAAGGATGTACAATGGGGTATGGCCAATATGAACAAAGAGCAAGGGGTCTGCAGACGACAGGAAGAAATGCAGGTCAGCTTACGTAGCACGCAGCGTGTCTTGCCACTCACGGGACGCCTGCCGCAGGCCGTAAACTGGGCGTCGGATGAGCCACTAGGTCCCCAAGGCGAAGGTGACTGTGAAGCCTGGCGGGCGACGAAGGTAGACCTGCTCGTGCAGACTACCCTGAAGAAAGGCTGTCGAGAAGTCGAAAGAGTGCAGCTCGTAGTCACGCTATGCTGCTTCGTGTAGCAGCACCCGAAGAGTAGTCATCTTCGGGGTGGCAGCGAAGGTCTGAAAGAAATCAACACACTCGTGCTGACTGAAGCCTCTAGCAACGTAGCGCGCCTTGAACACCGGCGGCTCTCCAGGGGGGCGCTTCACCTTGAAGAGCCACCGGCCATCGACTACGTTCACCCCAGGTGGAGGAAGTACGTCAACGAAGATGCCGCTGGATCTCGAAGATGCCATCTCCGCGTCTATGGCAGCTATCCACTGAGAGGCCTAGGGTCCCGAGGTCGCCTCAGTGTAAGTGCGAGGGGTCGGGATGTCAAAGGTGTCCGGGTCCTCCTCAGGGGCTAGCATTATGGAGCAGAGATGAGGCGCAGCCTTGGACAGGAAAGCTAGCTTTAACTGCGTGTCTTCTAGGACGTCATTGCCAAGGGCAGGTGCACCCCCGCTGGACAAAGGACGGGCCGGGTCTGAGACCAGTGTTGTGGCGTAGTCAAGGTGGCGGGTAACGACAAAGTCTGTGACAGCAGCGACAAGAGCATCAAGACTAAAGAGAGGAACAGATGGGTCGGTAACAAGAGAGGCGAGGACCGGATGAACAAGAGGACTAGTGGCACGGAGTAAGTCAAACAAGGGAGGCGGAGTGACAACCAACGATGATGGAGGAGGCGACAGGAGGAGGAGAGGACGGACGCACGGGAACGAAGCAACATAGGGTGAGAGCACTGGACAGGAGAGACAGGACGAGCACGAGAGGGACGACGAGACCAGAAGTGGGACAGAGGCGTCAGGCCAGGACACACAGGAGGAGACACAGGTGGAAAACGCAGGGTAAAACGAGCTGGAGACAAGTCCGGCGGAGGAAACACATGACCGTAGACATGCGGGGGAGGCGAAGGCGGGCGGTTAGGGGAGGGAAGGAGGCCAAGGGCAGACACCGGCGGCGACTTCTGCTGCTGCTGCTCCACGCCGACACCACGACCTCCTGCTGCACCACGGCTACCTCCGGGACACTCCACGCCAACACCCCCAGAGCGAGGACCCTCTCTGGCACTGATGCCACCCCCAAGACCACCGGGACGAGCCACGGCAGTAATCCCAGGACTAGCACCCCCAGAACCAGCACCCCCAGAACGAGAACCCTCTCCAGCATCGGTGCCACCCCTAGGACTGCGGGGACAGTAACCCCAGGACTAGCACCCTCCTCAACTCCCGCACCCCCAGAGCTCGCGGACCCCTGCGGTGGCTGCTGCTGCGGCAGCGGCTGCGACGACTGCTACTGCGGCTGCGGCGGCAACGGCGGCTGCTGCTACGGTGGAGGAGGAGGGGACACCGGGACGGAGACAGGCGGTGACACCGAAGCCGCGGGACCCCGGAGTCAGCGGACTCCTCGACCGTGACAACCGACGGGAGGGGAGTGACGTGAGACACACCAGATGGGGCAGGACAGGGAGGAAGAGGAGCAGGGGCTACTGAGGGAGTGGGGACAAGGAACAGGGACGAGGTAACCGGGAGACCTCGCGGGTGTAGAAAGATAAAGACTCGTCAAAAGTGACGTCGCGGGAGTGAAAGAAACGGTGAAACGGCGGGTGGTAAAATTGCCAGTCAGACGCGTCGAGAGGGGAACCAAGGAAGACACAAGGGACGGTGTGGGCTGTGAGCTTGTCCGTGCAAGAGGCATGGAACGCAGATGCGTCACCAGCGAACCCTGTCCAGAGAAGGGTCGGCGAAACCTGCGGCCGATGGGACTGTGGCCACAGGTTAAGCTGGTGAGCGGCATAGCGAACCGTGAACGGCCACAGAAAATGGGGTGCACTAGCATGGATCATGGAGGTACAAGCCACCTCCATGACCAACCCGATGCAATGCTCAACGACTTCATTTTGATGCGGAGAGTCCGGAAGGGTGTACGACTGGGTGATGCCCTCCGCACGACATTACTGGCCAAGCCAACCGGAGGCGAACTCGCCGCCACGGTCGGAGTGGAGATGCAACATGGGGAGGCCATGGTGGACTCGCGCAGCTACGACCCACGAGATAAGGGCATCAGGCACGTCGGCCTTCCGCTCTAGGGGAAACACTGTGGTGTCACGCGTGAAGTTGTCGACAAGTACTAGAAAGTAGCGCTCATGACGCGGCCCAGGGACAGGAGCGAAACCCCAAATGTCCAGGTGCAAGGTCTGGAGTGGCGCAGTGGTTTGGGAGCACGGAGGAGTGGGGAGCACGGCGCAGCCGGCCCTCGAGGCAGGGTGTGCACGGTGGCACAGGCGAGTGAGGGAGGGCAGGAAGCGACGTAGGAAGACCACGGACAAGCCCGTAATGGGACATGTGACGCAGACGCGGGAGAGCGGGGTGACCTAGGCGGTGGTACCACAATAGTGAAGGGTGAGTGAGCGACCGAAACGAGCAGGCTGCAGCTATCTGAGTGGACCCGGCGACCTGAGGGGGTGCTCCCACCAGGGGGGACGCAGTGTCCAGCGTGAATAGACCAGACCCGGGGTCCCGAGGGAGCGTGGTAAGAGGGGCACCAGTGGCGGCCTTGGTACAGACGGCGTACCGCTCGTGTCCAGGGAACGTAGTGGTGACGCCAAGGTCATGAAGACAGCCAACACCGACTAGGCTCGTAGAGAACGAGGGGATGTGCAAGCCTATAAGAGAGACCGATGGGACTGCCGGACAGGGAAGGGTAGTGGAGCTACGTGCGACTACCGGACCTGAGGACGGGTCAGCAAGCGCTACAGCGACAGGGGCAGCAAGCGGGTGAGCGAAGTGTGGTCACGGAAGAAACAGGCAGACGCACCAGAGTTGAGCATGAAAGAGAGCGAATCGGTAGCGCCTGCAGTAGCGGCGGCTGGCGGAGGGGCTAGAGTAGAGCCAAAGCTAAACCAAGCACGAGGTCTTACGCCTGACGCAACAAAGGAACATAGACTACACACAGGAGGCACACCTACACTAGGCACCACAGGGTGATAAGATCCGGTCACACTAGTATCATCAGCATACATGACAGACATAGCAGTCCTAATCTGATCCATGTCAAGCTCAAAGACGGGCACACGGCGGCGGGCCAGGGCGTACCAGTCAGGAGGGTCCGAGATGGGACCAAAGCGGAGACGGTAGAGGTCGCCGAGGCGGCAGTAGCAGCGGGCGGCATTGTGACCTGGACGGTCGCAGACGGCGCCACGGCGGGGGCTGGTCTTGTGCTGGTACTAGCAGGTGGCCACACTAGAGCCACCACCCAACACCGAGCCGCGCGGGGCACCACCACGACCACCACCACCAGTGCCACCAGGCCACCATGGCAACGGGGGTCCCCATTGCGGCTGCTGCTGCTACTGCTGCTGCGATTGCTGCTGCTGCTGCTGCAACTGCTGCTACTACTGCTGCTGCTGCTGCGGCTACAGCTGCTACTGCTGCTCCGGGACACCAGCCATAGTCGCGTCGTCTGCACCACCGTCCCCGCCCCCCCTTCCACCACCCCCACCACCTTTCCCTCCACCACGCCCCCCTCGGGGTGGCGGCCCCTACCCTGACGCTGCTGCGCTGAGGCCGCGGCGGCGGTCTCAGCAGCAGAGGCTGTCTCAGCGACAGCAGCAGAAACGTCAGAGTAAGTGCACTGGGAGGGAGCACAGTGCTGGAAGATAGGGATCGACGCAGCACCGCTAGACTGAGCGATAGTGCGCTGGCAAGTCTCTATGGCGGATAGGGCGGTGACAAAAGTAGGGAGGGTGAGCTCACCTGGGTGCTGACTAAGGAAGTGTTCCCGGGCAGTGGCTAGGCGGTTAGGAAGGCGCATGGCAATGAGGTAAAGGGTAGCGCAAAGTGGTGGCGGGAAGGCAGTGAGCTGTGCCTTAGTGCTAGCGGCGCGGTAGCTAGCCTCCAGTGCACGGAGGTGCGTGGCAAGGTCAGCGACAATGGGGAAGGACAGCATGAGGAGGATCAGGCGGCTGGCACAGGCTGAGGTAGGGGTAGAATAGCGCGCGATGACGGCATCTAAGTAGTCCTTGGCGTTCGCTACAGCGGTAAAGCGGGGACGCTCGGACAAGGGGAGGGCGTGGCTAATGGCAAGCTGAGCAACAGCGTCGCGCGAGTCTCAGATAGCACAGGCAAGCTCGGCAGCGACAAAGGTCTCACGTTCAGCGGGCGTGGGGGCGGCAGAGGGCAGCAGGCGGGGTGGGGCGAGGGAGCTTACCATCGAGATGGACGGCCAGGGAGTGGCCGTCCTGGCGCTGCCCGGTCAGCTGGCGGTGGAGGTTGACGAGCCACGCCTCAAACTCAACGGCCCGACCCTCCACATCCAGGCGGAGCAGTGAGTCCACCATCACCACGACTGCAGCAACGGACTGCCGCTGACAAGGGGAGGAGGAAAGGCGGAGGAGGGGCGGCGGAGCGCGGTAGAGTGAGGTGGAGTGCGGTTGAGAACAGTGGAGAGCGGTGGAGTGCGGTGGAGTGCAGTGGAGAGCAGTGGAGTCAGCCGGCAGGAGTGCTGGCTCAGAAGGGAGCCAAGGCAGGTAGGTCGGAGCGGCAGAGCGGCGCGGCGGCGCAGCGACACGACATCACGGCTGCACTGCGGCTCGGCGGCTGGACGGCGCGGGTCCGGCGCGGGCTGTGGCTGGCAGAGCCGGTGCTGATGGAGCTGGGGGCCAGCGAGCTAGGGGCCAGTGAGTGCGGGACTGGCGGGCGCGAGTCGAGCGAGCGCGGGGCTGGCATACGCGGGGCCAGCTGGCGGGGGGCTGGCGAGCGCGGGGGCCAGCAAGCACGGGGGCCGGCGAGCATGGGGCTGGCGGGCGCGGGGCTGGCGAGCGCGGGGCCAGAGAGAATGGGGCCAGCGGGGGCGGGGCTGGCGAGCGCAGGCCCAGAAAGCGCGGGGCCAGCGGGCGCAGGGCCAGCGAGCACGGGGTTGGCGAGCGCGGAGCCAGAAAGCGCGGGGCCAGAAAGCGCGGGGCTGGTGAGCGCGGGGCTGGCGAGCGCGGGGCTGGCGAGCGCGGGGCTGGTGCGCGCTGGGCCAGAAAGCGCGGGGCTGGCGAGCGCGGGGCCAGCGAGAACGGGGCCAGCGGGCGCGGGGCTGGCGAGCCCGGGGCCAGGAAGCACGGGGCTGGCGAGCGTGGGGCTGGCGAGCGTGGGGCCAGCGAGAACGGGGCCAGCGGGCGGGGGGCTGGCGAGTAGGGGCCAGCAAGCGGCTGGCGGCTACGAGCTGCTGGCGACTACGAGCTGCTGGCGGCTACGGTCGGTTGGCGGCTACGGGCGACCAGCGGCTACAGGCTGCTGGCGGCTACGGGCGGCACAAAATGGGCAGCTAGAAACGGGCGGCTAGCGACGGGCGGCTAGGGCTAGGACTAGGGCGGAAGCGCGGGTGGGCGGGGAGGACCTAACCTAGCGCATGATGCCATCTCAGAGTTAGAAAGTTGACTAGCTTGAGAGATACAAGGTGCTTTTGTGCTAAGGGGTTGTACTCTCTAAGAGTACGCACCTATCTAGCCTATAAGACATACATATACGTTTTGACATGGCGTTGCTATATGGCTCCAGCAGCACACTGGCAGTGCATTCAGATGGTACACCAGGATTGTGCGTCATAGTCATGGTACATTGACCAGCGCACATCCATGCTTCTTGCACTGCAATCAACGACGGTTCTGCCGCTCTACAAGCAGGCTGTCCATGCTGTGAGTGCTGCGCAGGCTCTGCGAGCACCCCTGGAGTCACCTCTTTAGTGCATTCAAAAGAGCGTTTGTAGAAGTTCAAGGCTGAATTGGAGTTCAGTTGCTCTCTGGTGAGCGTTCTGGTAGCATTTTATGGAGAATCTGTTCACTAGAATGAATTACAAGGAGACAGCAGTTATTGAACAAAGTTGCCTGAATGTACAAATTTCCCGATGTCCTTTTATTCCCAGGCTGAGCTGGGAAAACATAGTTACACCACCGGGGGTGCTGTGCTGTGCTGTGCTGTGGGTGCTACTCTGTTCCGCGCCTGTCACTGGCACTGAGGGCGGCCGCATGGCTCCAACTCATAGCATGAACGAGTGGTGGTTTACTACGGGAGTCACGCCATAGTCCTTCAATTGCTGCGTGAGCGCGCCGTTCTGCCTCTCCAGCGCTTTACACCGCGCCTGCAGGGACTGGATGTACACCACCGCGTCTTCCAGCATCGCTGACGTGTCCGTCTTGGCGTCCATCTTAGGCAGCACCTCCTTGAGCGTTTGCAGCCGCACGGTGATCTTCTCCCGCCGCAGCCTCTCAGCTACACTCCGGGGCTTGGTGGAGTAACCGAGGTTGGTGTTACAGTTACCAGCAGCGTTGCCTGCACGGGGGCTCCCACACTCTCCTCCTCCTCCTCCGGTTTTGAATACCAGGGGCCCGTCATTGCTGTGGTCATTCTTACCCTCGCCTGCTTCTTCCCCCTCAGCATCCACTGAGAATCCAGACCCAGAGTTCTGGTTCTGCTGCTGCTGCTGCTGCTGCTGCTGCTGCTGGCCGCTCATTCCGCTGCCGCTTCTGGAACTTCCCTTCGGGGGACTATCCATCCCGCGGTAGGCCCCCCTGGATCCTGCACCCGCGTGCCTCTTGCTGCCCTCAGCCCCCATAAGGCCTCCGGTCAGGCTGGCGTTCATTCCCCCCCACTGAGCGCCACCATCCATCAATCCTGCCCCCATGAATTGCCCAGTCAGGTCCGCGCCAGTCGCAGCGACAATCACTGCGGGCGACACGCCCATTTTCGACAGCTCCACCGCCAAAACCGCCTCCGGGGAGAGCGACAGGTGGATCCCGCCTTCCCCCAGCCCCGCGCCTCCGCTTCCGCCTCCCCCAACGCCCCGCGCCAAGGCTCCCCGCGGGAGGTGGGTTCCGCAGGGCCCGGGGGTTGTGGTCGCGAGGAGATTCCCCTCTGCGTCACGCTTGCCGCTGGGGCTGGGGCGGATGGGGAGGCCGCCTGGTCCGGTCGCTGCGCCGGTTGCTCCGGCGCCGCCCCGAACCTGGTGCAGGTCCGGAAGGCCCCGCCTGGAGCGTAGTCCGGGGGAGTGCTGCCTGCCGCCAGCGCCAGCGCCGCCGTCACCGCCAGTTTCCATCATTGCGGCCACGTCAGGCTCGGAATTGTGCCGGCCTCCGCTGGAAACCAGATGTTGGTGTGGCGTGCGCGCGCCGGTCTCGTCCCCCTCCGACGGATAGCTGCGGCTGCGCGGATACCCCGCGGCGACGGCGGCGGAAAACGACGCGGATTTCCGGTGAGTGCTTCGGCGGGGCCTCCCCCCGAGGGAGTCCCCGCCGGGAGAGCCGCGCGGGGAGCCTCCGACGCCGCGTCCCCCCACGAGGGACGGCGCGGGGGGGAAGAGCGAGCCCTGCACCTCCTGCTGGAGCGCGGACAGCAGCAGCTGTTGCTCCGCGGGAGTGAAGCTCGACAGGCCAGAGCGCCGGATGCGGCTGCCGAGATTCGTCGTCGGGTCGAGCAGCGCCGCGGCGAGCGAGTCGGGCTTGTGAACCGCGGCGCCGGATTCGAAACGGGATGGCTGGTTCCGCTGTTGTTGCGCCCCCGCCGCCGCCGGCGCCGCCACGTGCGCCGGGGCGTCAGTGTTGACCGCCGCGGCTGCAGGATCGGTTTGGACGAGCTGGTCGTAGAAGGCGCAGAGGTCCTTGTTCTGCGCGAACGACGCCACGTTCCCCGCTGCAGGTTGCGCCGCAATTGCCGCTTCAAGGGAGTCGGAGTCGGCGGACACGGGGCCGCCGCAATTGGCGCCGAAAATGGCGTCGCTCCTCCCCGCAGAGTGCTCCATGATCAATGTGTCGTCGAGAGCCGTCGACATGGAGTTCTGTGATGTCAAATCTCTTGCTTTTGTGCGCCGAGGTTCCGACTTGGAATCGGGGCGTCAGAAATTGTCAAAAAAATCGGCTGAAGTGACTCACGGAGCAGTGAAAAGGATTGCACGTTGTGGACGGACAAACAGCACGTTTCGGTCGCAAATCGGGCTTGAGAAGTGAGAAGGAACGCTCGCTCAGGTTCGAGTGGCCAAGTAGTAGCGAAAGGGGGACCCAAAAAGCAAGGGCAGTGACAAGTACCGCTGTTGACAGTTCGAGTTGGAATGGTTGATTGGTGCGGAGAGTGGGCGATATGTACGCGGAAATAAGCCGCCATACTCAAGCACAATAAGGGCCTAGCAGCGTCGCACTGGGGTGTGTGGTAGCCACCTACCACTCGTGGTCGCCGCTCATAAGCTAGGTGGACTAAACTAGTGGGCTAGTTGACATCCATCGCGCCATACTTGCATCCTCAGTCGAACCCCAGTTGCTGCTGTCGACATTTTTTTTTGAAACCCTGGATGAGGTTGCGTTAGGGAGGAGGCCGCTTGCCAGCGCTGGGCGTAGCCGCTACGCGACCAAGTGAGCAAGCGAGCAAGACGACGAACGGAAGAGTTGCTTCACGTATGCAGCAGGGGGTCATTGGCGTATTGGGCTTTCTGTTTCGCTAGGTACAGAGGCTGCAAGCGGTGATAAGCCTTGCAATCCCCCAGCAAAAAAGATTCGAATTGCGCCGCAAAAAGCTGGGACGATCTGGTTATGGCTGGACGAAGAGCACATGCGTCGGGTTATCCAAAATTTGCAGCTTTAGGCGCTTCGCTTGGCATGTGGTCAACGCGGTCATTTTGTTGGCCAGCGCTCGTCGAAAAATGTCACGCCTGTCACACGGCTGTCCAGCTAGTGGGCGGCAGGCAGCGATGCGTCGCTTGGTGACGAATTTCACGACTAAAATTCGCCTTCCTCGCTGCACTGCACACGTCTTGTTGTCGAGCACGCGTCATCATTCGCCAAAGACATTATGCTCCGAGCGCATGATGTGTGCGTGCGCTGATCCGCACTTGCGACGATCTGAGGGTTGTTTCTAGTGGGTGTCATCCCGAAAAAGTGTAATGTGAGAATGTTGGAAAGCAATCGCAATCGTTATTTCGAAACCTCAACGCCCTAAGATTTGTATGGCCATAGACTTCCGAGTCACTGGTGTTTCCGAGTCACTTTCGAAACCCCTACTAAAACAAGCCCTGAGATTTGGACCTACTAAATATACTTCGATTTTTCGGGCGTGTAGGTATATTTCGAAAAAGACGCTAGCCAAAATTGCATCACGAGGGGTAAACTCGCCTCCTCCAGTCATTCGAGAGAGCTTGCTTTTCTCTCCCCCCAAGCCAGCGAATCTGGTTTGGCGGTGGATTTGGCGCACCGGCATGGTTTGGGAGGAGGGGTTCTTCACGCGACTTGTCACGTGCTCCTGCCGAAATGAGTTCTTACGTGGACCCCGAACTTGGATTCGATTCTGAATTCAGGATCCTTATCCAGAAGCGATCCGCAAAAGGGTCTCCCGGGACATTGATCGCCATTGCACGAAGACTTCAGGTTTGCCACTGCTTCTGGGAGGGCGTTGACAAAACACGGGCCAAACTTTTGGCACTGGCGCTGACGGAGTTTAAAGAAACGAATCCCGTTTTCAGAGCTTGAAAAGGGGTTCCCCACAACTCCAAGAACTGGGTTTGTAACAGATACTACAGCTTTAGAAATCTTAATTTCTGTATCTTGTAGACGCTTGCTGAATGTTGTTGCAAATTCTCGAACTCTGCAGAAGTGGCTCATGATCCATCATGTTTTTTGTTCACAATGATCTACAGAAGCGTCCAAGAAACATGATGTCAACACGTCAACAAGGCTCGAGGACAGGGTTTAATGGAGTGCGGTGGGGAGTGCGCACCACGCCATTACAGTCTTGTACATCGCGTTGGAGGCTATTTCAACCCGCCCGGATGCATCTGGAGAGCAGAATGTTTTTGTTCCTCAATAGTTTCTTCTCTCGTATCCGTGGTCTCTGATGTGTCACCCCGCTAAGGGAGTTTCGACGCCACTTCGACCTATTCCATCGTAACAGGTACAAACCAGGATTACAAAACCGCTGGTAGGGGAAAGGGCACGAAAAGAAGCCGGTGTGACTTGACTCCAGCACTTCACATCGAACGTTTTCCTTCTGGCTCTTATGCGCTTGCAACCTAACCACACGGCTTCAAAGCAGCTGCAAGCTGTAGTTCTGAGCTGGTGCATCCGCGTTGCGATTTGACTTTGAGTAGAACTCGGACTTGATTCCGGCCCGACGTAGTGTCAATATCCTTTCGTGAACGATCCCACAAAAACCAAGGCTCGAGGAAATTAATCCGAAAATGCGTCGAGAAGGGAAATCTGGAAAAACAAAAGCGAAGCTACCAAAACACGCCGCTAACTTCGGAAACTTCTTGTACTGATGTGGGCTGGAAAGTGCCCCCCCCGACATTGGACCAAGGTTCAGCGCGGTGCTCTCTACTTGGAAGGGTACGGAAAGTAAAGAGCTCGGTGCCTCGACGGCATGTACACATGACGTCCAGTGGACCGCCCATTCGTCAGAGGCCTCCATGCACTCGTCAGTCCGACTGGCACGGATTTACAGGCAACGGCCCGTCCTGGACTGGCCCAATTTTGGGCGGCTCAACCACTTGCGACCTTGCTGGGAGCGAACATGCAGAAGGAATTATTGTAGGTTGACTCGGAACCAGGGTGCGATTGTAAGACAGTTACCGGGGTACGATGGAGAAACAACGAATGCCGTCCATGTTCCACGGGTCCTGCCAAACGGGTAACCATGGTCCTCCCTTCTGGCCCAATTTGCCAGCGATTTGAAGGCGTCCGTTACTAGAGTAACGAGCTGCAAAACAACTCAGCCTCTTGCAGAAATCTAGTGTATATTGTTGACGATGTCGCCGCCCACTTCGGTTGGACACGTTTCGTTCAGGCCCATCGTCAGTCGTCACTGGACATCATGATAACCTCGCGTGATACATAGCGAGATTCCTGCTCTCTAATCTGAGGCTCTGATCTTGGCAATGCGACACACTGAACGTGCGAGTTTGGCAAGTGCATCGACGACTAGGGCAAGTATTTCACAGGGGCCAATATTCCCTACATGCAAACTCGACGTACGCAGGAAAACATGTAACCAGCCAATCAGACATTGTTATGAATTAATCAGAGTAATAACACGTAGTGTAATAATGGAGTCGTGATTCAAGAGTTTCGATACAAACGAGGGCCTGGGAATTTACAGGCACGAACACAGCTAGCCGAGAACCACGCGAACAGGTTGGGGCTGTCCGGTTGGCGAAAGCTGCAGAAACGCCGCGCGTCTAGGTTTGGGTTCGCGAAGTGGTTCGAGACCGAAGAAGTTGGCCGAGCCTGGACTTCCGAGAGTCGAGGGCGTATGCGCTGCAGTTGAGCCCAGTAAGGAAAAGGGAATTTCCTTACACTACCCCCCCTTCCGGGATGAGAATGCCCACATCGAGGACGCAACGTCGATGTAATTAGTCCCGGACAACTCTGTTTTCACCGAGCGTGGCTGCGGGAACCCAGAGGTCGTCGTCATTTGTGCGATCGACCCATAGTACGAGGAAATCGACGGCTGCTGTGTCTCGATGACCCCGTACGCGATGAGCGAGAATCTTGGACGGCTCGATCGTTGGCTCGGGTACTGGGTTGGCCGTTGGATTGATGTGTTGACGGGCAAGATTGGTCGCATTCAGGACGAACTGTCGCAGGAGACTAACGTGGAACGAATCATGAATTTACCAGTCGGTCGGCAGTTGCAGTTGGGCGGTAACTGGTGTCACCATGCGAATGATGCGAAAGGGTCCGCAAAATCTTGGTCGTTATATAGTTGGGAGGGGGATTCCCAAATTCCTGGTCTCGAGCAGGACCAATTGCCTAGGGACATGTGTCAAGTCTCAGCGTTGTCGGTCAGCTTGCTGCTTAGCCCTCTGGTTGGCTTTAATGGATGGCATCGACGGCTATTTTTCAGAGGTTGTCGGGGGTTTTCGACAAACTGCTGAGACCGTGGTGCCAGATTTTCTATCGGTGGCGACAGAGGGGTTGTCAGGTCTATCCCGTAATTAAGGAAGAACGGGGACTGGGTAGTCGTGGCCGATGGGGCATTGCTGTACGCAAACTCTATCAAAGAAATGGCGTCTTCCCATTGGGCCGGGTCTGTGCATGTCGTGCGAATCAGCTGCTCCATCGTCTGGTTGGTGCGCTCAGTTTGACCGTCCGATAATGGGTGGTATGCCGTGGACAGATGCAGACGTGTGCCGTACTGCTGCCAGGACTTTGTCCAGAAGTTGGACATGATGTTAAAGTGAGAAAAGTTAACTAGAACAGGACATACTGTATAGGGGTATATAGCCTAATGGGTTGTACTCCCTAAGGCACAACCCTATATAGTCTACTGTAACATACAATTTATGTTTGTATGTTTGACACACCCCCTAGACTGGATAGGGGCAATGCCTAATGAGAGAGAAACAGCTCAGGGTGGCACTATTAGTCTAGCCTCTGAGGCAGGGGTCTAAAGACCAGTCAAACAAGTACAGACAAGGCAAGAGCAAGTCCAGGGTGGCACTACTAGTCCAGCCACTGGGAGGAGGCCACAAGGCAAGTCTGGGTAATATACATAAAGGTCTATTCACAATCAAGGTCCTAGCAAATGAGAGGCTACAAGAACGAGACCTAGCTGTACACAGTGCCGCTGATAATCTTTAGGCGCAAGTGCCTTCGTAAAGATATCAGTTGTATTGGCACCGGAGGCCAAGTGTACTACACGAGCCTGGCGACGCTGCTGCATCTCGCGTAGGAGTAAGTACCGCAACTGGATGTGCTTCGCTCTACCCTCCAGTCATGGCTCCTGACACTGGAGGATCATGGCCCTGTTGTCAGCGTACAGAACCAGGGCAGAGCTAGGCCGTTCACCCAAGTCGGTGAGCAAGAAGGTCGGCCAACGGAGCTCCTGTGCTGCCATGGCACCTGCGTAGATCTCAGCCTCACAGCTAGACTGGGCAACAGACGAGGAGGCGGTGGACCTCCACGAGTTGGCACCTGCACCAAGGCTAAAGGAGTAGCCTTGTGAGGACCTGAAAGTCTCGGCGTCGTCTGCCCAAGAAGCGTCTGTGTGCCCAGTAAGGACCACTGGTCTCCGTCCTCCAAGCACTAGCACCATGCCCGATGTACTTGCTAGATAACACAAAACCCTTTTAGCTGCCGACCAGTGCTGTGGTCGGTGTCTGCATGGGGCCACATAGCGAGCCAGGATGCTGAGAGGGTATGCGAGCTCTGGACGAGTGCAAGTCTACACGCACATGAGGCAACCCACCAGCTCTGTGTATGGACCACTAGGCTCTACAACCTCCTCTGGGACTGGGGCAAAGAGTCTGTGGTCTATTGGCAGAGGGGTGGGCTGTGCGGAAGAGAACTGAAGGCCGAACCTCTGAAGGACCTGTCGCACCAAGTGTGACTGTGAGAGAGTGATGGTGCGCGCGGCTCAGTCCCTGGAGATCTGCAAGCCAAGGTAGTGGCGCAGATCTCCTAGGTCAGTGCAGGTGTGTCTCTTCAGCAGCTCGGCCTTCACGGCGGCCAGTGCGTCTCTGTCTACAGTAGCAAAGACCAGGTTGTGTATGTAGACAAGGATGTAGAACGGAGTCTGGCCGGAACGGACAAAGAGCGAGGGGACTGCGGACGAAGGGAAGAACTGCAAGTCAGCAAGTGTGGCACGCAACGTGGCGTGCCACTCATGGGGCGCTTGTCCCAAGCCGTAGACTGGGCGCCTGAGGGGGAAGGTGTCGGAGAAGCCCTGGGGGTGGCGCAGGTAGACCTGCTCGTGTAGACTGCCCTGGAGGAATGCTGTAGAGAAGTCGAGGGAGTGCAGCTCGTAGTGACGCTGTGCTGCTACGTGTAGCAGCGTCCGTAGAGTGGTCGTCTTCGGGGTCGGGGCGGAGGTCTGAAAGAAGTCCACCCCCTCACGTAGACTGAAACCTCGAGCAAGGTAGCGCGCCTAAAAGACAGGCGGCTCTCTAGGAGGGTGCTTCACCTTGAAGAGCCACCGGCCATCGACTACGTTCACCCCAGGTGGGGGAACTGCGTCGATGAAGGTACCGGTGGATCTCCAAGATGCCATCTCCTACTCCATGGCAGCTATCCACTGAGAGGCCCAGGGTCCCGAGGTGGCCTCAACTGTTACAGGATCGAATGTGTTGAGGAAAGATTGCACTATCGATTGATACAATACGCTTTTATACTTCCAGAGTACATCAGGTTATCAGGTTTATCTTATCCCAAGGGAATAGACCCTTCTAGAATATAGAATCACCCTGCGTATAGCCACGCGAGGCTATTGGCTTTAAGGGATTACGGCAGGATTACGCTAGATAGAGCTCGCCAGTACATCCTAAGCCTGGTCGGTGATATAATGAGAATAACATGATAAACCAAAGAATAAGGGAAAATGGAGAATAGGAAACCAAATCAGATGAGATAAAAAGAGAGATGAAATAGAAAGGAAAGAGAAGAAGGGACAAGTGGTGTAATGGGGTCGTACTCTCACACTTCCCCTCCTCAAAGCTGGGTGGTAGAAGTAACACACTGCTTGACAAGGTAGTCATGCAGAGAACGACGGGCGTTACCCATGTCGGACTCAGGTACCCAGCTGTCCTCGGAAGGATCATAACCTTTCCAACAAATAAAAAGCTCCACGGTGCCATTCCGACGACGTCGGTGTGCAAGCACGGACTCGACCTCGTACTCGGGTTCATTCTGGACGAGGACGGGTGGCGGCGGCGGCGGTTGGCGTCCGACGAAGATCGTGTTCGGATCCTGATAGGGCTTCAGAAGTTGGACATGGAAGGCGTTGTGAATCTTCCAGGTAGCTGGCAGGCGTAAGCGGAAGGTAACAGGAGTGACCTGTGCTTCAACGAGAAAAGGTCCGCAGAAGCGAGGTTGGAGTTTAGATGGGAGGTGGTTGATGTCCAGGTTACGGGTGTCGAGAAGCACTTGGTCTCCCACTGTGATGGTGTGGTCGTTGCGATGGCGATCGGCCTGGCGCTTCTGTTGCTGCTGGATGTCAAGGAGGCGCTTGTGGGTCCGATCCCAAAGCTGATGCATGGTTGTGATGAAGTCGTGTGCAAGTTGGACTGTTGCTGATATTGTCGTTTTCTGTGGTGTGGGTGGGTGGCGTCCGTAGCAGAGGAAGAACGGCGTCTGTCTGGTAGTGGCATGTGTAGCGTTGTTGTAAGTGAACTCTAGTATGGGCAGGTGCAAGTCCCATTTGGAGATCTCGTCCTTGCAGGCTGCATGGAGGAGCTGCTCAACAATCTGGTTGAGGCGCTCGGTCTGTCCGTCTGTCTGCGGATGGTAAGCGGACGACATGGCGAGTTTGGTCCCGAGCAGAGACATTAGTTCCTTCCAGAATTTGCTGGTGAACTTGGGGTCTCGGTCGGAGATGAGAGTGGTTGGGATGCCATGTTGTAAGATGATGTAGCGTACGAAGAGTTGTGCTGTCTCCTCGGTGCGTGCTGTCATGTGTGTCGGGATGAAGTGTCCCGTTTTGGAGAACTTGTCGATGACGATGAGAATCGCGTCATGCCCAGTGGTGGTAGGTGGTAACCCGGTGATGAAATCCAGGCTAACCACTTGCCATGGTTGTTCTAGGACAGGAAGAGGCTGCAGTAGTCCCGCCTTCTTCTGTTTGCTGCTCTTCATCTGTTGGCACGTATCACAAGACGTGACGAATTTCTGAAGATCGTCTGCCAAGTGGGGCCAGTAGTAGTGTTTTGCAATACCGGTCATGTGAGAGTACGACCCCGTTACACTAATTTCCCCTTTCCATATTTCCTTTCTATTTCATTCCTCTTTTTATCCTCATTCATTTGGTCTTTATCTCATCTCATTTGGTTTCCTATTCCTCATTTTCCATTATCCTTGGGTTTATCCTATTATTATGATTATATCACCGACCAGGCTCGGGATGTACTGGCGCGCTCTATCTAGCGTAATCCTGCCGTAATCCCTTAAAGCCAATAGCCTCGCGTGGCTATACGCAGGGTGATTCTATTTCTAGAAGGGTCTATTCCCTTTGGATAGGATAAGCCTGGTTACCTGATGTACTCTGGAAGTATAAAAGCACCTTGTACTGATTGATAGTGCAACATTGAGCAAACCTTTCCTCGACACATTCGATCCTGTGACACTTGGTAATCAGAGCCAAGTGTTCAGCTCAACGCTTAACCGCTGGGCCCCCAGGAGCACGCGGAGGATGGAGTCGAAACTTCGTTTCCTGTAAGTACAATGCACTTTCATTTAAGTTTCGACTCACCTCTCGCAGTTGCACCTGGGGTCCCCATCGAAGGCGAGATGCCTCGCCAACCGTTCGATGGACTGCATCGACGGTGCCGATTTTTCGCGGGGGCAAACGGCCTCGACCTGGCGAGCGCGTCAGTTCCGGCGGAACACTCCCTGCGACATTCGGAGAAGTTCGCAGTTCGCGACCACACTTGGAGTTGCGCGGAACTCTGCGGAGGTTCGACCGACGACATCCGTCCGATGGAGATTCGACGCTTCAGATCGACCGAGGCGAAAACGAAATCCTGCTGAGCGAGTTCGAGTTTCAGCGCGAATGGGAACGGGACCTCGCAAGCCGCGAAATTCTTCGGAGCGTTGGATCGATCGACAGCCGACATCGACGACCGAGAATTGCTGCAGGAAACGAGTCAACCCGGACACTGAAAGCTGCTGAACGCGTCTCAGGAATATCTTCAGATCGCGTGGAGTTTGGACCGTCGGATCAACCTCTACTTCAACGGACGAGATGGAGCGCGACTTCTGCCTAAAGGGAGAATGACGCACAGAACCGGAAGTCAGCCGTTTTCGACACTGTTGTCGAAATTCTTCATTTGGTGACGAATTTGGTGCACAAATCATTTGCGGAGTCAGAAATCTGCCAGAGTATTACCTACTTGGTAAAATCTGCAAGCAGAAAAATGACAGGAGAACGTGGATCGTCGGATCGGTGCGGAATCAACGGCACGAATGCAGCGGAGACTACACGATGGGAAATCATCATCATGGAGACAACATTCGTGACCAGCGACTGCACAATCGACGCATCTTCTGACTGGTGTCGATAACGATCGAGTTATTTTGACGAAGTCATCTTCGTTAAAGATGGATCGACATCAATACAGCGAGATCTTCACCCAGGAAAAACAATGGAGCTGCGTGAAGACATGTTCTCCATCGACGAGACTCTTCTTCATAAAAATTGGATCGACAACCTATGGGATTGCAGAGAAGTAGCAGTTTTCTCTTGCAATGCTTCCAAGTTCAAGTTGCTGCGAAGGAGCAGATTTCGCACGCAACGATGACGCAGTGAACCCGTCTCGTCAAGGCCAGCGAGACACTACTTCGTAACAGGAGCTGAACGATTCGTCTTCATCAAGAATCTCAGCCATCCGAGGTGATTGATTGGAGCAGTCTCAACATCGACCTCACGAGGCGACACACCAATCATGCGTCGCGATTCCAGGTGTTAATGACCTGCGTGGAAGAAAATTCCGTGCACGTCACGATGCTTGACAGATTGAGGAGTAATTAACCTCTAATCCGGCAAGTACTCGTTCACTAGCGACCCTACGGCACATGCATTGGAGGCGATTCTACCAGAAGCCGAAGCGTTACAAGCACCAACGTAACTTCGACGATGCAGGAGAACGTCAAGCAGCACGAGGTGTCAACAAATGAGGGAGATGCGGACTACTACAACACGATCACGCGCTCTACCGACCGTACATCGGAGGCACGGATGAGCATACCAGGAATTGCTACCCGTGGATACATCGAGGGGAGAAGCAAATTTCTCTTCACACCCTCAAATGAAACAATCACCGGCAGCAATGGAACAACACATGTGTACTAATGTGCACGTGTTCCTGGTAGTTACGCCTGTTACACCCATCAGGAACACTCTACTGGGAAGAGGGAGTTGATAGATTCTCCTTCAACTAGTACGAGTTGAGAGAATTCTCTGTAGCAGCTGCCGCCGTCGCCGTCGTCGCAACCGCCGCCGCCGCCACAGCAGAAGACTCGACACAACAGTCACAACCAAACCCTGATGGATGATTCTCCGCTCAATGGAGATAATGCTGGATTATATTCCAGTGGGTCGTTAAGTCCCGGCCAGGCACAGTACTATGATTTCCAGCTAGTGGGAAGGAGATACCACTATGCGAGGAAACAATATGGCAATGCCATATACCCTCAAGAGCATCAGATATTTGCTCTTATGGGGATGGGAGGACCGCGGTACTCTACCGTTATACAAGTCCTCATGGCCTATGGCTTTCCTTAAAGTCATAAAAACCTGCGTCGCAACCAATCCATCACCAGCACCACCTCCACGGAAGTAGATAGGCGTAAAATGGAGCGCCGACGCCACTCCGGATAGTGGACTCCGCGTATCTCCAATAACACCCTTGTTTGTCGAAATGGAGTAGACTTCAACACCGATGCTGAGTAGCTGAGACATCTTCGACATCATCGCTACTTCAAGGACAGCAACAGAATAAGACAACACATGATGGCACCAGAAGACCTATCCCAATATGTGCACCCAGACACCGATGCCTACCGATGGCCTCCGTGCTAAACTGGACGTGCATAAGGTCATACTGGATTCGCTGTCAGCAATGCTCATTTGGAAATGGGAGAGGATTATTTGGGAATAGCCCCAACATTTCCAAATGTCCTAACCTATCACAGTGGGAAATCTATGCAGCAGAGATTCCTTCCTTGAGCAACCACCGAGGGAAACTACTTTGGCGCCGATTCTGGAAGCACCAGCTCCGCGTTTGTGGTACCAACCCCTCGCATGGTTCTGAACACAAGGGATACGCTGAGCAGCACTTCGCATGCGCTGTTGTACTCAAGGCAATGTGAGTAGCAGACCGCGTGGTGGAAAGGGTTACTACAAGAGATTCTGCTCTCCATTCCGCAGCACTACGATGCCGAATGGGTACGACTCGCGACAACACCAAGGCATGGACCAACATTCGGCAGAAGCTGCATGTAACGGATACAACACTGCTACAGAAGCAGTACTACGACACAACTGCCATACCACCAACACTTGGTGATCTTCACACGTGGACCAGATGCGGATAACAGCATGCACAGCTCGGACAACATAGCCACTCATCTGCACGTTACAGCACACTGTTCCAACCATTCACATATCCAACTCCGACTTGCATCTGCCCGTCCTGGAGTTTGCCTATAAGTATGCTCCTGACGTCGCTACTGGACAGACGCTGTACTTCGTCTGTTACGGACGCCACCCGATCACACCACAACAGCTAACCATACCAGCACAGTCCAACTGGCTTCCGATTTCATCGCCATCATCCACCATCTTGTACATCGACCACACAAGCACCTCTTGGACATCCAACAGCAGCAGAAGCACCTGGCTACTCATCACCACAGTTATCCACACCATAATCTCGACATCTGCCATCCTCTATCCAAGCGTCAACCCTGCTTCTGCGGGTCTATCATCGTTGAAGCAACGGTCACTTCATTCACCTTCCGCTTCCACCTACCAGCCACTTGGAAGATCCATACCGCCTTCCATACCAGCTTCTTAAACCCTATCAAGACCAAACACGCTCTACACCAAATGCCAACCACGGTCGTCGCCCGTGTTCATCCACGACATGGGACAACTACGTACTTGGACACCGTCATCGTCCGACTGGCACTCTGGAGCTTCTTCTTTGCTGGAAGGATTTTGATCCTTCTGACGCTACGTCTCTGAACTCGACATGGGTAACGCCCGTCGTCCTCTTCGCGACTACCTTGTCAAGCAGGGTGTTACTTCTACCACCCAGCTTTGAGGGGGGGAAGTGTGAGAGTACGACCCCGTTACACTAATTTCCCCTTTCCATATTTCCTTTCTATTTCATTCCTCTTTTTATCCTCATTCATTTGGTCTTTATCTCATCTCATTTGGTTTCCTATTCCTCATTTTCCATTATCCTTGGGTTTATCCTATTATTATGATTATATCACCGACCAGGCTCGGGATGTACTGGCGCGCTCTATCTAGCGTAATCCTGCCGTAATCCCTTAAAGCCAATAGCCTCGCGTGGCTATACGCAGGGTGATTCTATTTCTAGAAGGGTCTATTCCCTTTGGATAGGATAAGCCTGGTTACCTGATGTACTCTGGAAGTATAAAAGCACCTTGTACTGATTGATAGTGCAACATTGAGCAAACCTTTCCTCGACACATTCGATCCTGTGACAGGTCAGCGTCTTGTTGCTACCGAAGTGTCCGGGGTAGAGGACGTCGTGATATTCTTCGAGTAGTAACTCGCGCAATGGAGGGTAATTAGGTACCTAGATCTTCGTTGATCCTTTCCGGTATGCAACGTCGTTGTCCCACAGTAGCAGATGTCGCTTTTCTGCCAAGGGAATTTCGGGGTCGATGGTGTACCCATGTGTGAAGAGTCCCTTGAGTAGTGGATTCATCCCCTCATCCTGGATAGCGGTGACGTGTGCAGGCCGGCTTAGAGCGTCTGCCTTGTTTTTATGGCCAGGCTTGTACACGATGTCGTAGTGGAAGTGCGTGTCGAGGAAGTCGATCCACCGAACCTGTCGCCTGGAGAGGTTTGGTTGCGTCTTCAAATATTTTTGGCTGCAATGGTCGGTGTAGGCTGTTGTCTTGCGTCCTTCGAGATAGCATCTCCACGTTTTGAAGGCGATGATGATAGCCAGGGCCTCTTTGTCGTGTATCGGGTAGTTCAGTTCTGCCCCATGCAGTTTCTTACTGAGGTAGGCGATTGGTTGCAGTCCATTCCCTTGGTCTTGCATCAAGACTGCTCCCACTGCCTGGTCGCTGGCGTCAGCTTCGATAGCGTAGTCGTGTTCGGGGTCTGGCAAGATAAGTACTGGTGCGGACGTGAGTGCTTGTTTGAGCTCCTCCATGGCTTCTTGGTGTTTCTACTCCCACTTGTAGGGCGTGTTCTTCTTCAGCAGATTCGTGAGTGGTGCGGCGATCTCCGCGTATTCTGGCACGAACCTGTTGTAGTAGTTAGCGAAGTCGAGGAACTTTTGTAACTCCTTCACGTTCTCGGGTGTCTTCCACGTACGTACGGCTTCGATTTTCTTGGGTTCGACGTGAACTCCTTGAGCGCTCACCATGTGCCCTAGGAATTGGACCTTCTCAAAGGCGAATTCGCTCTTGGACAACTTGACGTAGAAGCGTTCCCGTCAAAGAATTTCGAAGACGCGTCGTAGGTGTTCGACGTGCTGCTTCATGTCGCGCGAGTAGATGAGGATGGCGTCCAGGTATACTACCACGCACTCGTCCAAAAGTGGGCGTAGGATGCGGTTCATCTCAGCTTGGAATGTTGCCGGTGCGTTGGTGAGTCCGAACGGCATGACCAAATACTCGTACGATCCGTACCGAGTTCGGAAAGCAGTTTTATGGATAGAGTTGTCCGCCATCCGTATCTGCCAGTATCCAGATCGCAAATCCAGTTTGGAAAATACCGTAGCTCCCCGAAGCTGGTCAAGCAGGTCATCGATTCGTGGTATAGGATACTTATTCTTGATGGTCTGCTTGTTGAGAGCTCGGTAGTCGATGCACATGCGCAGGCTCCCGTCCGGTTTCGGTGTGAAGAGTACTGGGGCACCGTATGGCGAAGTGGATGGTCGGATGAGCCCTTTGGCGAGGAGATACTCGATCTGCTTTTTCATGTCGGCTAGCTCGGTCGGGCTGAGCCGATATGGTGCTCGGAAGGTCGGCTTCGAACCTGGTTCCTCCACGATCTCATGTTGGTGTGTTCGGTATGGCGGTAGCTCGTTCGGGAGGTCGTCGGGGAGAATGTCTTGGAACTCCTTTAGTAATTCCTTGATTTTTCCTGGAGGTTCCGCTGTCTTCTCTCCGTCGGTTTCCACCTCTGTTGCTATCGCCAGGAACCCGGTGTCGGTTCGCTTCACGTCCTTCTCGAATCGTGCGAGTGTCTCCACTGGGATATCTCCTGTATCGTCCCAGTTGTGTAGTTGGACTCTCCTTCCTTAGTTGTAGATGCTTGCGGTGCGCTTTACCCAGTTGATCCCGGGGTTGAACCTTTTCAGGAAGTCTCGCCCGAAGATCAAGTCAAGCCCTTTGATATTGGTGATGGGGAGTGCAGGTCGCCAACGCAGTGGTCCAATTTGTAGGTGTAGCACTGCTTCGCCGTGTACTGGTAACTTGCTGCCTGCCACCATCGTTGCAGAGAATCCTGAAGGCTTGTACTCCTCTCGAAGTCGGTCGATTACTGCCTTGTCGCAGACGGTGTGTGATGCTCCGCTGTCCACGAGTGCTTGGAGGCGTCGTCCTTTGCAGATGACCTCGAGCACGAGGGGCAGGCGTTGCTCGGAGTACCCAAAAATAGTTTCATTTATTGTGTCATAAGGTACATCCCAATATTCGTTGCTCCCTACTCCTGAGGCTCTAGCCCCTCAAGAATTATAAGTTTTCATTAAAGGCTGCTTGGAGAAAGGCTCTTCTCCAGGGCCCGGAGTTTCCGTGACGACTGTTCGTGTCGTTGACGAAGTTGCCGAGTTGGATGCATCCGAAGACGAAGGAATTCGGGGTTTTTGCAGCTTCTTGTAGACCCCCAGCTTCCTCTTGAGCTGCTTCAGCTCCACCGACGTCTTCCCTGGGGAACGGGTAGTCGCTGTGGGCTGGTGTCGGGAGAGGACGTTGACTCCGTGGAAAGGTCGGCTTCTTTCCACACTCCTTAATTTGTTCCCCAAGTTGTCCGGTACCGGTATGATCTCCACAATTTTCTGCTTCTTCTGGAGCCCTTCCCGTATTTTCTCCAAGGCTCTAGCCCCTCAAGAATTATAAGTTTTCATTAAAGCATCTTTATGAGATAACTTTAACGGATCCTTATAACTTCTTCGAGGAGTTTCCCCGTCTCGGCAGAGTCCTTTTTCGCGGAGTCAGAATTTTCCTCTGACGAAGACTGGTCGTGGGGTGGAGATTTTTCCCCATCATTTCCTCCTGCTCGCGTCGAATCAGCTTCATTGAAGTTGATTTTCCCGGAATCCTGCGGCCGTTTCCGGATCTTTTCTTTTTCGCCAGCTAGATCCGCAATCACTGGCGACTCCCGATTTTTGTCTTCAGATTGGTCGAAGGATTTCCGCCACTGTTGCGTGCCCGATACTCTGCGTGTGCGACTTTCATTTTGTTGCAGTCGAAGATTCGATGACCCATCACCCCGCAAAAATCACACGTGAAGTTGGTGTTTTTCGGACGTGGCCACACGTCGAACCTGTTGATTTCCATCGGGTCGGCGAACGTGGTGTGAGCCGAGCGGTCGCCCTGTCGCGTACTGCCCACGTGCGTCCGTCGTGTCCCGGCGTTGACCATGTCGAAGCGTTCCGCGGCCGATACGACGTCACTGTAGCTCGCGTAGTTCGTCGCTGCTACTTGTCATTTGACTTGCGAATTCGAAAAATTGCGAAGCTGGTGCTTACCAGAATCGGCGTCGAATCGGTCGCCCCCGGCGGTTTTTCGAGGCAGGTTTTCCCGCTGCTGCTGCTTTGTTGAGCGCGGCCGAGTGAGAAAAGCTCTGATTACCAAGTGGCACAGGATCGAATGTGTCGAGGAAAGATTGCACTATCGATTGATACAAGGCGCTTTTATACTTCCATAGTACATCAGGTAACCAGGTTTATCTTATCCCAAGGGAATAGACCCTTCTAGAATATAGAATCACCCTGCGTATAGCCACGCGAGGCTATTGGCTTTAAGGGATAACGGCAGGATTACGCTAGATAGAGCGCGCCAGTACATCCCAAGCCTGTTCAGTGATATAATGAGAATAACAGGATAAACCAAATGATAAGGGAAAATGGAGAATAGGAAACCAAATAAGATGAGATAAAAAGAGAGATGAAATAGAAAGGAAAGAGAAGAAGGGACAAGTGGTGTAACGGGGTCGTACTCTCACATCAACGTAGGTGCGAGGCGTCGGGATGTCGAGGGCATCTGGGTCACCCTCAGGGACAGAGAAGGGGACAGAGATGGGGAGCGGCCTCAGACAGGAAAGTGAGCTCGAACTGCCTATCCAAGAGCAGCCACACCCCCGACGGTCGGAGGGCAGGCAGGGTCAGAGACCAGAGCGGTGGCGTAGTCCAGGCGGCGGGTAGCGGCGTAGTCAGTGACAGCAGCGACAAGAGCCGACAGACTCGAGACAAGTGCCACCCTGAGCTGCTTGTCTCTCACCAGGCACTGCCCCTATCCAGTCTAGGGGGTGTGTCAAACATATCCTTGTATGTTGTTATAGATTACACAAGGTTGTGCCTTAAAGAGTACAACCCACTAGGTTATATTCCCTTGTATGCCATGGTTCTAGTCATTCGTTAACTTTGATAATTATGTCTTGTATTAGGTGTCCATCTTGTATTCGGCCTCTCTGTTTATAAGACACACTTTTTATGTAAGTATTGTCAACTTATACATACATTTGCATGTAGAAGTTATAGGCTAGAATAGGTGCGTGTTCTTAGAGAGCACAACCCAAACCCTATATCTCCCTTGTACTCTCTTCTTGCTCATTTTTCCTAGTATTCTAACAAGAATGAGACCCAAGTGACGTACACTCCCTAAAACCCCCGGTTAGCGCTTTGTGCCCACCCAAAAAGGGCTCAGTTTATTAAAAAAAATCCATTTATAAGAAACTTCACCACTTTTTTGCTCGGTATATGATAAGACATAGGGGTCTTCTTGTTGAAAGGGCGTTAAGGAGCTAAGCTAGGTAGCCATGAGAAATTGTCGAGAGGTTTAGCTAGGCGGGAAGAGTTACGAGTGAAAAGAGGGACAACTAGGAAGAGAAAGAGATACAAGAAGGTGGGGTTATCCCCTCTACAGTAGGATCCAGCAATATAGCCCACCTACTAAGCAGGGCCTACTTTTGGATTTTTACTACTCTGAGGGAGTGGCTTTTTTCATCACTCTGAAAATCAGAGTGCTCCCCAATGGTTTCTCTGATTTTCCATGGTTTTTTCTATTTCTCAAAATTTTACACTGATAATGCAGAGGGGTTTTTTAAGTAACTCTCTGCAGCAGGGTCCTCTAGGCGTGCGGGGAACAAAGGGGAAGTATCGAGATATTTTATGGGCATTGGAAACCGAGATTGCAGGGGCAGGGGGAACCGAGCTAGCAGGAGGGGTCGACACAGCAGGGGCGGGGAAGGGAAATCTTGCACTCCCCATGCAAGCACACGCTGGCCCCAAATACGGTGAAGGGCCCAAGACGACCTCACATAGCCAACAGCGCATCTCGCTTGACCCCTAGATTTGGTGAAGGGCCAATCAGCGCCCTCACGCACCTTCAAGCACAATTGGCGAAGTGATTTTGGTGAAGGGACATTAAGCCCCCTCACACAACCTCGAGCACGGACCAGACGATGATTTCGCCGGTGCGTGTGGCATGACGCGTTCTTCGGGAAACATGGGCACAGCTGGGTATAGGGGGCAGGAACATAATCACATACCGTATATACGGTACCCCCTATACATGGACCATCAGAGTGGTACAAAGATTTACTTGGATAAAATCAGAATAAAAAAACATTTTTATTATTATTTTTTTACTCAGGGCCCCTAGAGTAGTTTTCAAAAACGACTTTGATTTCCAGAGAAACAAAGTAAATTACTCTGATAAAATAGACCCTCCTACCAAGCCTAAACAAATATATATATATATATAATATATAATATGTATATATAATTTGACACACCCCCTAGGCTTGGTAGTCGAAAGCCCACCCAACACACAACACCCCCAATCCCTTGCACCCCCATGCCCTTCAGTAGCTGTGGCGTCTACCCCTCTTGCGAAGCGGTGACACCCCCGGCGGGTGGCAGCAAAGGCGTATGCGGCGGCTTCAACGACGACGACAGTGGCGGCGGCGGAGCGGGTGGCGGCGGAGCCAGCTGCCCTGCATCGGCGGCGGCGGCTTCGACAATGGTCGCGACAACTGCTAAGCTCGCAGCACTCGGCGGTGTGGCACGACCCGGCGACGATCGGGAAGAGAATCATCAACTGCAGCTGGAACAAGGGGTGGCGCGGGGGAGGGGGGGCGTTGCTTCAGTGAGGCGCCCTGGCTGGCGCGCTGGCTGTTGTGCGGGCGTACAGCTGGCGCCTAAAACATTGTGCAGCCCGCTGCCGCACGTGCGATGACGCGTCGGCGATGCCACGGCAGCTTGACGACGCCGCCACGGCAGCACGTCGACGCTGCCACAGTTGCATAACGACGCCGCTAGGGCGTGGCGTCGACGCCACGGCAGCGCGTCAAGGCTGCCATGGCAGCACGACGAAGTCGCCATGGCAGCATGACGAAGCCGCCATGGCAGCACGACATGGCTATCACGGCGGCGCGGAAGTGATAGGAGGGAGGAGAGTACGCTGCGGAAGCGTGAGGAGGAGGCCTTAGCGAAAGGGCCTGCTCTGATACCATGTTGAAAGGGCGATTAGAAGCTAAGCTAGGTAGCCATGAGAAACTGTCGAGAGGTTTAGCTTGGGGGGAAGAGTTACAAGAGAAAAGAGGGACAACTAGGAAGAGAAAGACATACAAGAAGTAGGGGTTGTCCCCTCTACAGTAGGATCCAACAATATAGCACACCTACCACGCCTAAACAAATATATATATATATATATATATATATATACTGTATATGATTTGACACTTCTATCCGGGCGTTTACGGTGTTTCCCCGCAGCCCCCTTTCTATTTCCTTCTTGCTCGCTTCCCGCCGTACTTGCATTTGCTGCAGAAATCACGGGGAAAAAATGTAAACTTTCTATATTTGTAGTTATAGGCTAGATAGGTGCATGCTCTTAGAGAGTTCAACACGCAAGAATAAGGTCGCTGGCCCCTGCTCGCTGGCCCCTGCTCGCCGGCCCCTGCTCGCCGGCCCCTTCTCGCCGGCCCCTGCACGCCGGCCCCGGCTCGACGGCCAATTTCTGGGTGGTGTGACACCATTGAGATGTGCTTTGAGGCACCTCAACACACACTCCAGCAATGCTGACCGCTGCACCAGCAGTGTAACTGTTCCACTGAATGGGCCCGGCACTCCCTGAAAGGGAGGAGATACAGAATGCAGGGGCAGAGGGGGAGGGACAGAATGCAGGGGCAGAGAGGGGGAGGGACAGAATGCAGGGGCCGAGAGGGGGAGAGGCAGAATGCAGGGGCAGAGAGGGGGAGAGGCAGAATGCAGGGGCAGAGAGGTGAAGGGGCAGAATGCAGGGGCAGTCAAAGGGAGAGGCGGAATGCAGGGGCAGAGAGGGGGAGAGGCAGAATGCAGGGGAAGTCAAAGGGAGAGGCAGAATGCAGGGGCAGAGAGGGGGAGAGGCAGAAGGCAGGGGCAGTCAAAGGGAGAGGCAGAATGCAGGGGCAGAGAGGGGGAGAGGCAGAAGGCAGGGGCAGTCAAAGGGAGAGGCAGAATGCAGGGGCAGAGAGGGGGAGAGGCAGAAGGCAGGGGCAGTCAAAGGGAGAGGCAGAATGCAGGGGCAGTCAAAGGGAGAGGCAGAATGCAGGGGCAGTCAAAGGGAGAGGCAGAATGCAGGGGCAGTCAAAAGGAGAGGCAGAGGGTACCGCAAGGTGATTTGAAGCAGGGCATGTGGAGGGAGGGGCAAGCAGGCTGGCACGTTCTGTGGTATACGTCTGTGAAGGATTGGGAGGAGATTCCCTGTTGCAAGCACGTGTGCAGGGCGGAAAGCAAACTCCGCGGTACAGGAGTGCTTGTCGAAGGGTTAAGCAGAATCCTTATGAGAGATCCGTGTGTGGCATTATAGTTGCGTTGGTGCCGGCTTTCTTAGGCTTGCTGTGGCTTGCGTTTGCTTGCTGTGGCCTTGTCTCTCTTCCTCACCATCGAAGCCATCATCCTGCTCTGTTGGGAGTGTCAATTAATTTCAATGAATCCAATGCCGAGCACCATAACCAGCACTGTCTTCATCACAATGCAATAAGGGGCTGCACCACCAGAGGTTCTTTTCAGCCTGATTTCCAAAAGCTGGCTGTATTTCCGGCCCTGACCTGAGTGGACCTGGCGTTGCATTGTGCGCCATTTGTTCATTCATTGCTCAGTGCATGTTTGCTCACTGCTGGCGTCTCAGAGTTAAAAATTTGACTAGAATGAGAGATACAAGGTGCTTTTGTGCTAAAGGGGCGGTCCTCTCTAAGAGTACGCACGTATCTAGCCTATAAGACGTATACATATAAGTTTTGACACACCCCCTAGGCTAGATGAGGGGCAGTGCCTGGTAAGAGACAAACAGCTCAAGGTGGCACAACTAGTCCAACCTCTGTGGCAAGGGTCCAAGGATCAGTCAGCAAGAGAACAAACTAAACAAGAGTAATCCTAGGTGGCAATACTAGTCCAGCCATTGGAACAGTAGCCACAAGGCCAGTCAAGAGATAAGAAGAGGTACACAATCAAGGTCCTAGCAAGTAAGAAGCTACAGGAACTAGACCAAGCTGTACACAGTGTCGCTGATGACCTTTAGGCGCAAGCGCCTTCGTAAAGTTATCACCTGTGTTGGCACCGGAGGCCAAGTGTACTACGCGGGCCTGGTGGCACTGCTGTGGCTCGCGCAGGAGGAAGTACCGTAACTAGATGTGCTTCGCTTTGCCCTCTTGTCGAGGCTCTGACATAGGAGGATCATGGCCCTGTTGTCAGCGTACAGGACCGGGGCAGAGCTAGGCCGCTCACCTAAGTCTGTAAGCAAGAAAGTCAGCTTGCGGACCTCCTATGCCACCATGGCACCGGTGTAGATCTCGGACTCAGAGCTAGACTGGGTAATAGACGACAAGCAGGTGGGCCTCCACGAGATGGCGACTGCACCAAGGCTAAAGTAGTAGCCCTAGGAGGACGTCAGCATCGTCCGCCACGAAGCGTCTGTCTGCCCTGTAAGAACCACTGGCCTGCGTCCTCCCAGCACTAGCCCCATGCCCCATGTACTTGCTAGAGAACGCAAAACCCTCTTAGCGGCCGATCAGTGCTGTGGTCGATGTCTGCCTATGGCCACAAAGCGAGTCAGGATGCTGAGGGGGTATGCATGATCTGGACGAGTGCAACTCATCAGGTACATGAGGCAACTCACCAGCTCTGCGTAAGGGCCACTAGGCTCTACACACTCCTCAGGGACTGGAGCCAAGAGCCAGTAATCTACTGGCAGAGGTGTGGGCTGTGCGAGGAGAACTGAAGGTCGAAACTCTGAAGGACCTGGTGCACCAAGTGTGACTGTGTAAGAGTGATGGTGCACGCTGCTCTGTCCCTGGAGATCTACAGGCCAATGTAGTAGCGCAACTCTCCTAGGTCAGTGTAGGTGTGTCTCCTCAGCAACTCATTCTTCACAAAGGCCAGTGCGTCTCTGTCTGCAGTAGCGAAGACCGGGTCATCTACGTAGACAAGGATGTACAATGGGGTATGGCCAATATGAACAAAGAGCAAGGGGTCTGCAGACGACAGGAAGAAATGCAGGTCAGCTTACGTAGCACGCAGCGTGTCTTGCCACTCACGGGACGCCTGCCGCAGGCCGTAAACTGGGCGTCGGATGAGCCACTAGGTCCCCAAGGCGAAGGTGACTGTGAAGCCTGGCGGGCGACGAAGGTAGACCTGCTCGTGCAGACTACCCTGAAGAAAGGCTGTCGAGAAGTCGAAAGAGTGCAGCTCGTAGTCACGCTATGCTGCTTCGTGTAGCAGCACCCGAAGAGTAGTCATCTTCGGGGTGGCAGCGAAGGTCTGAAAGAAATCAACACACTCGTGCTGACTGAAGCCTCTAGCAACGTAGCGCGCCTTGAACACCGGCGGCTCTCCAGGGGGGCGCTTCACCTTGAAGAGCCACCGGCCATCGACTACGTTCACCCCAGGTGGAGGAAGTACGTCAACGAAGATGCCGCTGGATCTCGAAGATGCCATCTCCGCGTCTATGGCAGCTATCCACTGAGAGGCCTAGGGTCCCGAGGTCGCCTCAGTGTAAGTGCGAGGGGTCGGGATGTCAAAGGTGTCCGGGTCCTCCTCAGGGGCTAGCATTATGGAGCAGAGATGAGGCGCAGCCTTGGACAGGAAAGCTAGCTTTAACTGCGTGTCTTCTAGGACGTCATTGCCAAGGGCAGGTGCACCCCCGCTGGACAAAGGACGGGCCGGGTCTGAGACCAGTGTTGTGGCGTAGTCAAGGTGGCGGGTAACGACAAAGTCTGTGACAGCAGCGACAAGAGCATCAAGACTAAAGAGAGGAACAGATGGGTCGGTAACAAGAGAGGCGAGGACCGGATGAACAAGAGGACTAGTGGCACGGAGTAAGTCAAACAAGGGAGGCGGAGTGACAACCAACGATGATGGAGGAGGCGACAGGAGGAGGAGAGGACGGACGCACGGGAACGAAGCAACATAGGGTGAGAGCACTGGACAGGAGAGACAGGACGAGCACGAGAGGGACGACGAGACCAGAAGTGGGACAGAGGCGTCAGGCCAGGACACACAGGAGGAGACACAGGTGGAAAACGCAGGGTAAAACGAGCTGGAGACAAGTCCGGCGGAGGAAACACATGACCGTAGACATGCGGGGGAGGCGAAGGCGGGCGGTTAGGGGAGGGAAGGAGGCCAAGGGCAGACACCGGCGGCGACTTCTGCTGCTGCTGCTCCACGCCGACACCACGACCTCCTGCTGCACCACGGCTACCTCCGGGACACTCCACGCCAACACCCCCAGAGCGAGGACCCTCTCTGGCACTGATGCCACCCCCAAGACCACCGGGACGAGCCACGGCAGTAATCCCAGGACTAGCACCCCCAGAACCAGCACCCCCAGAACGAGAACCCTCTCCAGCATCGGTGCCACCCCTAGGACTGCGGGGACAGTAACCCCAGGACTAGCACCCTCCTCAACTCCCGCACCCCCAGAGCTCGCGGACCCCTGCGGTGGCTGCTGCTGCGGCAGCGGCTGCGACGACTGCTACTGCGGCTGCGGCGGCAACGGCGGCTGCTGCTACGGTGGAGGAGGAGGGGACACCGGGACGGAGACAGGCGGTGACACCGAAGCCGCGGGACCCCGGAGTCAGCGGACTCCTCGACCGTGACAACCGACGGGAGGGGAGTGACGTGAGACACACCAGATGGGGCAGGACAGGGAGGAAGAGGAGCAGGGGCTACTGAGGGAGTGGGGACAAGGAACAGGGACGAGGTAACCGGGAGACCTCGCGGGTGTAGAAAGATAAAGACTCGTCAAAAGTGACGTCGCGGGAGTGAAAGAAACGGTGAAACGGCGGGTGGTAAAATTGCCAGTCAGACGCGTCGAGAGGGGAACCAAGGAAGACACAAGGGACGGTGTGGGCTGTGAGCTTGTCCGTGCAAGAGGCATGGAACGCAGATGCGTCACCAGCGAACCCTGTCCAGAGAAGGGTCGGCGAAACCTGCGGCCGATGGGACTGTGGCCACAGGTTAAGCTGGTGAGCGGCATAGCGAACCGTGAACGGCCACAGAAAATGGGGTGCACTAGCATGGATCATGGAGGTACAAGCCACCTCCATGACCAACCCGATGCAATGCTCAACGACTTCATTTTGATGCGGAGAGTCCGGAAGGGTGTACGACTGGGTGATGCCCTCCGCACGACATTACTGGCCAAGCCAACCGGAGGCGAACTCGCCGCCACGGTCGGAGTGGAGATGCAACATGGGGAGGCCATGGTGGACTCGCGCAGCTACGACCCACGAGATAAGGGCATCAGGCACGTCGGCCTTCCGCTCTAGGGGAAACACTGTGGTGTCACGCGTGAAGTTGTCGACAAGTACTAGAAAGTAGCGCTCATGACGCGGCCCAGGGACAGGAGCGAAACCCCAAATGTCCAGGTGCAAGGTCTGGAGTGGCGCAGTGGTTTGGGAGCACGGAGGAGTGGGGAGCACGGCGCAGCCGGCCCTCGAGGCAGGGTGTGCACGGTGGCACAGGCGAGTGAGGGAGGGCAGGAAGCGACGTAGGAAGACCACGGACAAGCCCGTAATGGGACATGTGACGCAGACGCGGGAGAGCGGGGTGACCTAGGCGGTGGTACCACAATAGTGAAGGGTGAGTGAGCGACCGAAACGAGCAGGCTGCAGCTATCTGAGTGGACCCGGCGACCTGAGGGGGTGCTCCCACCAGGGGGGACGCAGTGTCCAGCGTGAATAGACCAGACCCGGGGTCCCGAGGGAGCGTGGTAAGAGGGGCACCAGTGGCGGCCTTGGTACAGACGGCGTACCGCTCGTGTCCAGGGAACGTAGTGGTGACGCCAAGGTCATGAAGACAGCCAACACCGACTAGGCTCGTAGAGAACGAGGGGATGTGCAAGCCTATAAGAGAGACCGATGGGACTGCCGGACAGGGAAGGGTAGTGGAGCTACGTGCGACTACCGGACCTGAGGACGGGTCAGCAAGCGCTACAGCGACAGGGGCAGCAAGCGGGTGAGCGAAGTGTGGTCACGGAAGAAACAGGCAGACGCACCAGAGTTGAGCATGAAAGAGAGCGAATCGGTAGCGCCTGCAGTAGCGGCGGCTGGCGGAGGGGTTAGAGTAGAGCCAAAGCTAAACCAAGCACGAGGTCTTACGCCTGACGCAACAAAGGAACATAGACTACACACAGGAGGCACACCTACACTAGGCACCACAGGGTGATAAGATCCGGTCACACTAGTATCATCAGCATACATGACAGACATAGCAGTCCTAATCTGATCCATGTCAAGCTCAAAGACGGGCACACGGCGGCGGGCCAGGGCGTACCAGTCAGGAGGGTCCGAGATGGGACCAAAGCGGAGACGGTAGAGGTCGCCGAGGCGGCAGTAGCAGCGGGCGGCATTGTGACCTGGACGGTCGCAGACGGCGCCACGGCGGGGGCTGGTCTTGTGCTGGTACTAGCAGGTGGCCACACTAGAGCCACCACCCAACACCGAGCCGCGCGGGGCACCACCACGACCACCACCACCAGTGCCACCAGGCCACCATGGCAACGGGGGTCCCCATTGCGGCTGCTGCTGCTACTGCTGCTGCGATTGCTGCTGCTGCTGCTGCAACTGCTGCTACTACTGCTGCTGCTGCTGCGGCTACAGCTGCTACTGCTGCTCCGGGACACCAGCCATAGTCGCGTCGTCTGCACCACCGTCCCCGCCCCCCTTCCACCACCCCCACCACCTTTCCCTCCACCACGCCCCCCTCGGGGTGGCGGCCCCTACCCTGACGCTGCTGCGCTGAGGCCGCGGCGGCGGTCTCAGCAGCAGAGGCTGTCTCAGCGACAGCAGCAGAAACGTCAGAGTAAGTGCACTGGGAGGGAGCACAGTGCTGGAAGATAGGGATCGACGCAGCACCGCTAGACTGAGCGATAGTGCGCTGGCAAGTCTCTATGGCGGATAGGGCGGTGACAAAAGTAGGGAGGGTGAGCTCACCTGGGTGCTGACTAAGGAAGTGTTCCCGGGCAGTGGCTAGGCGGTTAGGAAGGCGCATGGCAATGAGGTAAAGGGTAGCGCAAAGTGGTGGCGGGAAGGCAGTGAGCTGTGCCTTAGTGCTAGCGGCGCGGTAGCTAGCCTCCAGTGCACGGAGGTGCGTGGCAAGGTCAGCGACAATGGGGAAGGACAGCATGAGGAGGATCAGGCGGCTGGCACAGGCTGAGGTAGGGGTAGAATAGCGCGCGATGACGGCATCTAAGTAGTCCTTGGCGTTCGCTACAGCGGTAAAGCGGGGACGCTCGGACAAGGGGAGGGCGTGGCTAATGGCAAGCTGAGCAACAGCGTCGCGCGAGTCTCAGATAGCACAGGCAAGCTCGGCAGCGACAAAGGTCTCACGTTCAGCGGGCGTGGGGGCGGCAGAGGGCAGCAGGCGGGGTGGGGCGAGGGAGCTTACCATCGAGATGGACGGCCAGGGAGTGGCCGTCCTGGCGCTGCCCGGTCAGCTGGCGGTGGAGGTTGACGAGCCACGCCTCAAACTCAACGGCCCGACCCTCCACATCCAGGCGGAGCAGTGAGTCCACCATCACCACGACTGCAGCAACGGACTGCCGCTGACAAGGGGAGGAGGAAAGGCGGAGGAGGGGCGGCGGAGCGCGGTAGAGTGAGGTGGAGTGCGGTTGAGAACAGTGGAGAGCGGTGGAGTGCGGTGGAGTGCAGTGGAGAGCAGTGGAGTCAGCCGGCAGGAGTGCTGGCTCAGAAGGGAGCCAAGGCAGGTAGGTCGGAGCGGCAGAGCGGCGCGGCGGCGCAGCGACACGACATCACGGCTGCACTGCGGCTCGGCGGCTGGACGGCGCGGGTCCGGCGCGGGCTGTGGCTGGCAGAGCCGGTGCTGATGGAGCTGGGGGCCAGCGAGCTAGGGGCCAGTGAGTGCGGGACTGGCGGGCGCGAGTCGAGCGAGCGCGGGGCTGGCATACGCGGGGCCAGCTGGCGGGGGGCTGGCGAGCGCGGGGGCCAGCAAGCACGGGGGCCGGCGAGCATGGGGCTGGCGGGCGCGGGGCTGGCGAGCGCGGGGCCAGAGAGAATGGGGCCAGCGGGGGCGGGGCTGGCGAGCGCAGGCCCAGAAAGCGCGGGGCCAGCGGGCGCAGGGCCAGCGAGCACGGGGTTGGCGAGCGCGGGGCCAGAAAGCGCGGGGCTGGCGAGCGCGGGGCTGGCGAGCGCGGGGCTGGCGAGCGCGGGGCTGGCGAGCGCGGGGCTGGTGCGCGCTGGGCCAGAAAGCGCGGGGCTGGCGAGCGCGGGGCCAGCGAGAACGGGGCCAGCGGGCGCGGGGCTGGCGAGCCCGGGGCCAGGAAGCACGGGGCTGGCGAGCGTGGGGCTGGCGAGCGTGGGGCCAGCGAGAACGGGGCCAGCGGGCGGGGGGCTGGCGAGTAGGGGCCAGCAAGCGGCTGGCGGCTACGAGCTGCTGGCGACTACGAGCTGCTGGCGGCTACGGTCGGTTGGCGGCTACGGGCGACCAGCGGCTACAGGCTGCTGGCGGCTACGGGCGGCACAAAATGGGCAGCTAGAAACGGGCGGCTAGCGACGGGCGGCTAGGGCTAGGACTAGGGCGGAAGCGCGGGTGGGCGGGGAGGACCTAACCTAGCGCATGATACCATCTCAGAGTTAGAAAGTTGACTAGCTTGAGAGATACAAGGTGCTTTTGTGCTAAGGGGTTGTACTCTCTAAGAGTACGCACCTATCTAGCCTATAAGACATACATATACGTTTTGACATGGCGTTGCTATATGGCTCCAGCAGCACACTGGCAGTGCATTCAGATGGTACACCAGGATTGTGCGTCATAGTCATGGTACATTGACCAGCGCACATCCATGCTTCTTGCACTGCAATCAACGACGGTTCTGCCGCTCTACAAGCAGGCTGTCCATGCTGTGAGTGCTGCGCAGGCTCTGCGAGCACCCCTGGAGTCACCTCTTTAGTGCATTCAAAAGAGCGTTTGTAGAAGTTCAAGGCTGAATTGGAGTTCAGTTGCTCTCTGGTGAGCGTTCTGGTAGCATTTTATGGAGAATCTGTTCACTAGAATGAATTACAAGGAGACAGCAGTTATTGAACAAAGTTGCCTGAATGTACAAATTTCCCGATGTCCTTTTATTCCCAGGCTGAGCTGGGAAAACATAGTTACACCACCGGGGGTGCTGTGCTGTGCTGTGCTGTGGGTGCTACTCTGTTCCGCGCCTGTCACTGGCACTGAGGGCGGCCGCATGGCTCCAACTCATAGCATGAACGAGTGGTGGTTTACTACGGGAGTCACGCCATAGTCCTTCAATTGCTGCGTGAGCGCGCCGTTCTGCCTCTCCAGCGCTTTACACCGCGCCTGCAGGGACTGGATGTACACCACCGCGTCTTCCAGCATCGCTGACGTGTCCGTCTTGGCGTCCATCTTAGGCAGCACCTCCTTGAGCGTTTGCAGCCGCACGGTGATCTTCTCCCGCCGCAGCCTCTCAGCTACACTCCGGGGCTTGGTGGAGTAACCGAGGTTGGTGTTACAGTTACCAGCAGCGTTGCCTGCACGGGGGCTCCCACACTCTCCTCCTCCTCCTCCGGTTTTGAATACCAGGGGCCCGTCATTGCTGTGGTCATTCTTACCCTCGCCTGCTTCTTCCCCCTCAGCATCCACTGAGAATCCAGACCCAGAGTTCTGGTTCTGCTGCTGCTGCTGCTGCTGCTGCTGCTGCTGGCCGCTCATTCCGCTGCCGCTTCTGGAACTTCCCTTCGGGGGACTATCCATCCCGCGGTAGGCCCCCCTGGATCCTGCACCCGCGTGCCTCTTGCTGCCCTCAGCCCCCATAAGGCCTCCGGTCAGGCTGGCGTTCATTCCCCCCCACTGAGCGCCACCATCCATCAATCCTGCCCCCATGAATTGCCCAGTCAGGTCCGCGCCAGTCGCAGCGACAATCACTGCGGGCGACACGCCCATTTTCGACAGCTCCACCGCCAAAACCGCCTCCGGGGAGAGCGACAGGTGGATCCCGCCTTCCCCCAGCCCCGCGCCTCCGCTTCCGCCTCCCCCAACGCCCCGCGCCAAGGCTCCCCGCGGGAGGTGGGTTCCGCAGGGCCCGGGGGTTGTGGTCGCGAGGAGATTCCCCTCTGCGTCACGCTTGCCGCTGGGGCTGGGGCGGATGGGGAGGCCGCCTGGTCCGGTCGCTGCGCCGGTTGCTCCGGCGCCGCCCCGAACCTGGTGCAGGTCCGGAAGGCCCCGCCTGGAGCGTAGTCCGGGGGAGTGCTGCCTGCCGCCAGCGCCAGCGCCGCCGTCACCGCCAGTTTCCATCATTGCGGCCACGTCAGGCTCGGAATTGTGCCGGCCTCCGCTGGAAACCAGATGTTGGTGTGGCGTGCGCGCGCTGGTCTCGTCCCCCTCCGACGGATAGCTGCGGCTGCGCGGATACCCCGCGGCGACGGCGGCGGAAAACGACGCGGATTTCCGGTGAGTGCTTCGGCGGGGCCTCCCCCCGAGGGAGTCCCCGCCGGGAGAGCCGCGCGGGGAGCCTCCGACGCCGCGTCCCCCCACGAGGGACGGCGCGGGGGGGAAGAGCGAGCCCTGCACCTCCTGCTGGAGCGCGGACAGCAGCAGCTGTTGCTCCGCGGGAGTGAAGCTCGACAGGCCAGAGCGCCGGATGCGGCTGCCGAGATTCGTCGTCGGGTCGAGCAGCGCCGCGGCGAGCGAGTCGGGCTTGTGAACCGCGGCGCCGGATTCGAAACGGGATGGCTGGTTCCGCTGTTGTTGCGCCCCCGCCGCCGCCGGCGCCGCCACCTGCGCCAGGGCGTCAGTGTTGGCCGCCGCGGCTGCAGGATCGGTTTGGACGAGCTGGTCGTAGAAGGCGCAGAGGTCCTTGTTCTGCGCGAACGACGCCACGTTCCCCGCCGCAGGTTGCGCCGCAATTGCCGCTTCAAGGGAGTCGGAGTCGGCGGACACGGGGCCGCCGCAATTGGCGCCGAAAATGGCGTCGCTCCTCCCCGCAGAGTGCTCCATGATCAATGTGTCGTCGAGAGCCGTCGACATGGAGATCTGTGATGTCACTTCTATTGCCTTTGTGCGCCTCAGAGCTTCCGATCGGAATCGGGGCGTCAGAAATTGTCAAAAAAATCGGTTGAAGTGACTCACGTAGCAGTCAAAAGGATTGCACGTTGTGGACGGACAAACAGCACGTTTCGGTCGCAAATCGGGCTTGAGAAGTGAGAAGGAACGCTCGCTCAGGTTCGAGTGGCCAAGTAGTAGCGAAAGGGGGGACCCAAAAAGCAAGTGCAGTGAACAAGGATTATCGCTGTTGACAGTTCGAGTTGGAATGGTTGATTGGTGCGGAGAGTGGGCGATTTGTACGCGGAAATAAGCCGCCATACTCAAGCACAATAAGGGCCTAGCAGCGTCGTACTGGGGGGTGTGGTAGCCACCTACCACTCATGGTCGCCGCTCATAAGCTAGGTGGACTAAACTAGTGGGCTAGTTGACATCCATCGCGCCATACTTGCATCCTCAGTCGAACCCCAGTTGCTGCTGTCAACATTTTTTTTTGAAACCCTGGATGAGGTTGCGTAGGGGAGGAGGCCGCTTGCCAGCGCTGGGCGTAGCCGCTACGCGACCAAGTGAGCAAGCGAGCAAGACGACGATAAGGAGGAGTTGCTTCGCGTATGCAGCAGGGGGTCATTGGCGTATTGGGCTTTCTGTTTCGCTAGGTACAGAGGCTGCAAGCGGTGATAAGCCTTGCAATCCCCCAGCAAAAAAGATTCGAATTGTGCCGCAAAAGCTGGGACGATCTGGTTATGGCTGGACGAGAGCACATGCGTCGGGTTACCCAAAATTTGCAGCTTTTGGAGCTTCGCTTGGCATGTGGTCAACGCGGTCATTTTGTTGGCCAGCGCTCGTCGAAAAATGTCACGCCTGTCACACGGCTGTCCAGCTGGTGGGCGCTAGGCAGCGATGTGCCGCTTGGTGACGAATTTCCCGACTAAAATTCGCCTTCCTCGCTGCACTGCACACGTCTTGTTGTCGAGCACGCGTCATCATTCGCCGAAATACATTCTTCCATGACCGCATGAAGTGTGCGTGCGCTGATCCGCACTTGCGACGATCTGAGGGTTTTTTCTAGTGGGTGTCATCCCGAAAAAGTGTCATGTGAAATGGTGAAACTTCAATGCCCAAAGATTTGTGAGTATGCCCATGGACTTCCGAGTCACCGGTGTTTCCGAGTCACTTTCGAAACACCTACTAAAACAAGCCCTGCGATTTGTATGCCCATGGACTTCCCTGTTGGTAACACACCTGTACCCGCAATAATCAGTTGAGAGTACCCCTAACCCGTCAGATCAGTATCGAAGCATCATCCCGCAATTCAGCTTGTGGTGTGGAAAGTCGGAAGCTAGTCGTCAAAGGATGGGAGGGATGCAATGCTTTGCTGGTCTCTCGCCTGGGTAAGAAGTGTAAGTCATTGATGTTTCATGAAACAAACGATATTGAACCCCTCGAGATATCCTAAAATATTCTTCCATGCCCGAAAAAGACGCTAACCAAAATTGCATCACGAGGGGTTAACTCGCCTCCTCCAGTCATTCGAGAGCTTGATTTTCTCTCCCCCCAAGCCAGCGAAGCTGGTTTGGCGGTGGATTTGGCGCACCGGCATTGGGGGGGGGGGAGGGAGGGGGGGAGGGGGGGGGGGGAGGGGCTCTTCACGCGACTTGTCACGTGCTCCTGCCGAAATGAGTTCTTACGTGGACCCCAAACTTGGATTCGATTCCGAATTCAGGATCCCTTTCCAGAACCGATCCGCAAAAGGGTCCCCCGGTCCCGGGACATTGATCGGCATTGTATGAAAACTTCAGGTTGGCCACTGCTTCTGGGAGGGCGTTGACAAAGCACGGGCCAACTTTTGGCACTGGTGCTGACGGAGTTTACAGAAACGAATCCCGTTTTCAGAGCTTGAAAAATGGTTCCTCCCAACTCCAAGATCTGTGTTTGTAACAGATACTACAGTCCTATAAATCTTAATTTTTGTATCTTGTAGACGCTTGCTGAATGTTGATGCAATTTCTCGAACTCTGTTGAAGTGGCTCATGATACATCATGCTATTTGTACACGATGATCTACAGAAGCGTCCAAGAAACATGATGTCAACACGTCAACAAGGCTCGAGGACAGGGTTTAATGGAGTGCGGTGCGGAGTGCGCACCACGCCATTACAGTCTTGTACATGGCGTTGCAGGCTATTTAAACCCGTCCAGATGCATCTGGAGAGCAGAAATTTTTGGTTCCTCTATAGTTTCTCCTCTGGTATCCGTGGTCTCTGAAATGTGTCCCCGCAAAGGGAGTTTCGATCGCGACTTCGACATATTCCATCGTAACAGGTACAAACCAGGATTACAAAACCGCTGGTTGGGGAAAGGGCACCAAAAGAAGCCCGTGTGACTTGACTCCAGCTCTGGACATCGACCTTTTTCTGACCAACCACACGGCTTCAAAGCAGCTGCAAGGTGTAGTTCTGAGCCGGGGCATCCGCGTTGGGATTTGACTTTGAGTAGAACTCGGACTTGATTCCGTTCGTGAGTGACCCCACAAAAACCAAGGCTCGAGGAAATTAATCCGAAAATGCATCGAGAAGGGAAAGCTGAAAAAACAAACGCGAAGCTACCAAAACAGCCCGCTAGGTTCGGAAACTTCTTGTACTGATGTGGGCGGGAAAGTGGTCCCCCCGACATTGGACGAAGGTTCGCCGCGGTGCTCTCAGTTCTTGGAAGGGTACGGAAAGTATAGAGCTCGGTGCCTCGACGGCATGTATTTTGTAGATGATTCGCCACGCACTTCGGTTGAACACGTTTCGTTCAGGCCCATCGTCAGTCGTCACTGGACATCATGATAACCTCGCGTGATACCAGATCCACAGCAAGATTCCTGCTCTCATTTGAGGCTCTGATCTTGGCAGAGCGACACACTGAATGCGAGTTTGTAGTACTGTACACATACGCAAGTGTATCGATGACTAGAGCAAGTATCTCACATGGGCCACTATTCCCTATATTCAAACATGTACGCAGGAAAACATGTAACCAGCCAATCAGACATTGCTATGAATTAATCAGAGTAATAACAGGTAGTGTAATAAAGGAGTCGTGATTCAAGAGTGTCGATACAAATTAGGGCCTGGGAATTTACAGGCACGAACAGAGCTAGCCGAGATCCATGGGAACAGGTTGGGGCGGTCCGGTTGTTGAAAGCTACGGAAACGCCGCGCGTCTAGGTTTGGGTTCGCGAAGTGGTTCGGGACCGAAGAAGTTGGCTGCGCCTGGACTTCCGAGAGTCGATGGCGTATGCACTGCAGTTGAGCCCAGTAAGGAAAACGGAATTTCCTGACACTACCCCCCATTCCGGGATGAGAATGCCCACATCCAGGACACGCCGTCGATGTTTTTAGTCCCAGACAACTCTGTTTTCACCGAGCGTGGCTGCGGGAACCCAGAGGTCGTCGTCAATTGTGCGATCGACCCAGCGTACGAGGAAATCGATGGCTGCTGTGTCTCAATGACCACGTACGCGATGTGCGATAATCTTGGACAGTTCGATCATTGGCTCGGGTACTGGGTTGACCGTAGGATTGATTTGTTGACGGTCGAGATTGGTCACATTCGGGACAAACGGTCGCAGGAGCCTGACGAGGAACGAATCATGAATTCGTCAGTTGCCTCGCAGTTACAGCTGGGCGGTGACTGGTGTCACCATGCGAATGATGCTGAAGGGTCCGCAAAAGTCTTGGTCGTTATATATTTAGGAGGGCGATTCCCAAATTCCTGATGTTGAGCTGGACCAATTGCCCAAAGACAAGTGTTAAGTCTCGACATTCTCGATCAGCTTGCTGCTTAGCCCTCTGATTGGCTTTTAAGATGGCATCGACGGCTTTTTTGCAAAGACTGTCGGAGGTTTTCGACGAACTGCTGAGACTGTGGTGCCGGATTTTCTATCGGTGGCGATAGAGGGGTTGTCGGGTCTATCCCGTAATTAAGGAAGAACGGGGACTGAATAATTATGGCCGATGGGGCATTGTTGTACGCAAACTCGATCAAAGGAAGGGCATCTTCCCATTGGGCCGGGTCTGTGCATGTCGTGCGAATCAGCTGCTCCATCATCTGGTTGGTGCGCTCAGTCTGACCGTCCGATAATGGGTGGTACGTCGTGGACAGATGCAGACGTTTGCCGTACTGCTGCCAGGTTTTTGTCCTGAAGTTGGAAGTGAACCGTGGGTCGCGATCGCTGATGATTACCGATGGGATGCCGTGTAGCCGCACGATGTTTGTAAGGAACACTTTCGCTGTCTGGTCGACAGTGATTGTCGTCGTGTAGGCAGTGAAATGGGCCATTTTGGTTAACCGATCAACGACGACGAGGATCGCGTCATTACAGCTTGGACCAGCTGGTAGGCCAGTGACGAAATCCATCGTTACTTGTTGTCAGGATTGGCTGTGTGGCTCGAGCGGCTGCAACAATCCAGCGGGTCGAAGTCGGGAAGACTTCATGCGTTGACACGTGGCGCAGGAGGTGACGTACTGCTGCACGCCGTTTGGTTGGTCAGGCAAATAATAATTACGGCTCAGTAATTTTGCAGTTTTGTCAATGCCATAGTGACTCGAGAAATTCGAGTCATGCGCCTCCTGGATCAGTAATTCCTGTAGTGTACAATAGGCAAGATCCCAAATCCGATTGGTACCGGATTTTAGATAATAGACCCCTTGCTTGACCGTCAGTTGGGGATGACTGTTACTGGTGAACAATGGGTCAGTACTGTATTCGTGGGTGAATAAGCCAGTTAGCAGTGGATTAGCTTGGGTAATTAGGACTGCGGCGGTGTGGACCGAGGGGCGGGTCAGTGCGTCGGCGATGTTGCTAACCCCTCATTTGTAGGTGACTCTGTAGTGGAAATTGGACTCAATGTATTCGAGCCAGTGAATCTGTCAGGGATACAGTGTCGGTTGGGCGTGGATGAGTTGTAGCAACTTGTATGCTGTTTCGACTATTACGTCAGCGCCCGTCAGGTAGCAGCGCCAGACTTTGAAAGCATGAACGATGGCGAGTAACTCCTTGTCGTGGAGAGGATAACTTTGCTCGGCTGGATTTTGCTTTTGTCACTCGTAAGCGATGGGTTGGAGGCCTTCGCCAAAGTCTTGTAGCAGTACTGCGCCCACGACTAGATCGTTAGCATTGGTGATGAGTTCGAACGGACAGTGAGGATCAGCAATCTGAAGAACTGGAGGGGTTATCAGGAAACGTTTGAGCTTTTCGAACGCAGCCTGCTGCTCTTCCCCCCACGAAAAAAACGTGCCCTTCTTTAGGAGATCCGTGAGAGGGGAAGTTACCCCCGCCAGGTTTGGAATGAAACGGCAGACAGAATTAACAAACCCCAGAAAACTTTGGAGTTCGCGTAGATTAGCCGGCGGCTTCCAGTCTTGGAGGGTTGATTTTAACACTATCGATGGAAATCACGTGACCCGAAAACTCCTGTTCGTGTTGGAGAAACTCACACTAAGAGCCCTTGGTGATCAATCGGTTCCACTGGAGGAGAGAGAAAACTGCTTCCAAATCCTTCAAATGTTGCTCTCGGGTTGTGCTGCAGACGAGGATGTTGTCGAGGTACACGATGACACATTTATCCAGCAGTGGCCGAAAAAATTCGTTCATGATCAACTGGAATGTCGAAGGCGCGTTTATCAAGCCGAATGACATGACCGTGTACTCGTAACTCCTGTACTGGGTCCGAAACGTCGTTTTGTAGCAGTCAGCTTCGTGCATGCGGAGTTGGTGGTAACTGCTACGCACGTCAATATTCGAGAAAAATCTGGCCCCGCGAAGTTGGTCGATGAGGTCGATTGCACGTGGTTTGGGGTAGCGAGAATTGATGGTAACCCGATTCAAGGCACGATAGTCAATACACAAACGCAGACCGCCATCTTTCTTCGGGGTGAACACGATCGTAGCTGCAAATGGTGATGTGCTGGGGCGGACGAAACCTTTCTCGAGCAGGTAGTCCAACTGGCGTCGAAGTTTATCTAAATCAGGCTGAGTCAGCCGCCATAGGGTCTGCATAGTAGGATGCGCGCCAGGTTTGAGCTCGATTTTATGGTCATGGGGCCGTTGAGGTGGCAAGCCCGCCGGTAGGTCGTCTGGAAAAATGTCCGTGTGCTTCCGAACCACTGTTGCCAAATCATCCGGTACAGCTGCGCAGAGTTTGTCGATGTCGGTTGGCGTGTCGACAGCCGTTGATGCGATCCATCGGACGGCATACAGGTGCGCTTCTCGAATCATCGCGCGCTTTATAGTCACTGTGCTGACCGTCAATGTTTTCGAGTCTTGACTACTGCATTTGGGACAGGTGACTCGCACGTGAGATACACGCTCCCGAATCGCCAGTGGGGTGCCGTCAACCAACCTCGCGTCAATTTCGGGCATGCAGCGTTCCAGCTGCAAACGGAGTTTTTTCGCTTTTGTCACATCGATCATATTGTGGCTTGCCCCACCATCAACAAATATTTTTATGCGGGTGTCGCCAACTCTTCCTTAAACCAGCACAGTGTGATTAACCAGTTCACCCCCCCTATTCAGCCAGGAATGGTCGATGGCCCAAATCGGCACTATAACCTGGTGGGGGTGTTGGCGTTAGGGCGACATAATCAAGTCAGTAGGTGGCCCATTTGCTACTGACGATCTCCATTTCCCGACTGCTTCCCATCGTTAACTAAGTTCTTCTTCAGCTGCGGGCAGTCCCTCACCATGTGGCCCAGTTGGTTGCAGTTGAAACATCATCCGGAAAATACCCGGGCTGCACACACTTCCCCGCTGTTGATTGATGTGTGTTGGGGCTGGCCTAGAAAAGCGATTTCCCTCCCAAAAACCCGCTCTTCCGAGTCCATGCCTTGCATCCAGCGCATCCTCGACTTGGAAAATTTCGTTGAAGGTTGCCGAGGCTCGCAGGGCGATCTCTTGCTGAATCTTTGGCTTGAGACCACCCACGTTGCGATCGATCTTCTCGTCTTCGCTAAGCCCTCTGATTTGATCGCATAACGCCAAGAACGAAGCCGTGTATTCTTGGATAGAGCCCAACTGACTCCACATCCGAAGCCGCTGAGCATTCGGCACTAGCTCAAAAAGAAAGCAGACATTACGTGCGCCTCGGGCTCTAGGCGTAGGCTTGTGGGCGCAGGGCGACTGTCGAGGCACCCCGACATGGAGCAGGCTGTCTACAAAAAGTTCCTGAGCCACCGCTCCCGTGGCCTTGTAGTCCCGATTTCCCTCTTTCAGGTTTGGAGCCGGCAGTTCATGAAGACTCACCATCCCGAGGTGGACAGGAGGGCCTCGCCTCATTGGACCTTCGGGTTCCGCGTTCGCTGGGGCCTCACCGTGCGAGTCAAGACCAAGATTGGTCAGTGTTTGACCCGCGGTAAGCCGACCTCTCTCATTCGCGCTGACCTCATTTTATGCAACTACATGCCGCATGGTTGTAGAATAACATGGCGTATTCACCCCTACCTTCCTTTTCCGCGTATCTTTTGTTTCCACTGGTAGATTGCAAGCCAAAGAGCAAAAGCTTTTGGCGCTTCGTCCGGAAACATGTGCTAGAGAGCGGCATCGACCCATGGAACATGATCAATGCGGATCAAACTCCACTGTTCCTAGAGATGCCTTTCGTGCGCACACTTTACCATCGCGGGGATCGGACAGTGCAGATTCGGAGCGCCTGGTATGAGAAGGAGAGGGTGACGGTGATGTCGGCGGTGACAGCGGACGGCCGGAAACTGCCTCCCATGGTCATCTTCAAAAGGAAGACGATCCCTAACATTCGAGCACCACTTGGTGAGTTTTGCTACATGACAGCCTATTTTGTCTCCCCAGCTGTTTCCCTCGTATTATTCCTAACGGTGTGCGTGCATTATTGTGCAGGTCTCCTTATCCGAGCCCAGGAGTGAGGCTGGATGGATGGAGGCCTCGTGCAAGATTGGGTGCAGCACGTATTGCTGCCCTTCATCCGCCCCCCCGCAGGGGTCTCAAGGAGCAAAACACGGCTTGTCCTGGACTCCTACCGTGGGCACCTGACGGACGGCGTGCTTGGCTCCTTTAGGTGGCATAGGATCAACCCCGCAATCATCCCTGGCGACTGCACGCCCCTTCTGCAGCCACTCGACGTCGTCATCAACCGTGCCTTCAAGGCGGGCGTCCGGCGGTTCTACAACGACTGGTTCGCCACAGAAGGCATTGACCTGCTGACGCCCGCAGGTGAGCCCGTCTCATGTTTGCTGGTATGTGATTGCCTGCCCTGTTTAACTCACAATTCAAGAATCTCACCTCTCTGTCTTCCTCTTGATTGCTTACTTGAGCAGGCAATCTGAGGAAGCCGCCGCCAGAGTTGGTCCTGTGCTGGATCTGGAACTCATGGGACCTTGTCCCCGAGGACATCCTTGTCTGCGCGTTCAAAACGTGCGGCATCAGCAACAACCCCGATGGGAGCGAGGACCACCTGGTCCTCGCTCACATGCGCGATGCTGCCCAAGTCGAAGTGCACGATGACGTGCATGCTGCCAGCGCCGTGGAAGAGTGGATCAATCCACTCTACGCAGAGGCCGAGCAGGAGGACGAGGGGGAGGGAGGCAAGGAGGAGGGGGATGGGGGAGATGGCTGAGGAGGAGGAGGAGACAGAGGAGGCAGCAGCAGCAGCGGCAACAACAGCGGCAGAAGCGGCATCAGCAGCGGCGGACGAAGAGGCCTCAACAACAAAGTCTCGGAGTTCCCATGGCGAGGTGGACATCAACACAGCCTGGGACATTGAGTCCCTTGAGTAGTGGTAGTTAGTAGCAGTTCGGTGGATGTGTACCGTATCAGTAGGCTCGATGAGTTGGTCTAACATGAGGTGTGCTGCCGTGGATGTGCAGTGCCTAGGATTTCCTAAGGCAGTATGTAGCGTAGGTAGGATGCAATTGGCATGAAGCAATAGTGGCCGGGTAGAACCGTCCTAACTCATAATGTGGAAGTTGACTTAGTAGTGCATGACACATTTTGAAATTGAGTAGAAACTGCCAGGAAAACCTCTTAAAACTGAAGGGGGGAGGGTTCTTAAATGATTTACCCCAAACACCGGGTCCTCACAATCCCTTTACGATATTAACACCCATGGTCCGGAAAAAAGACCCTGAGTCCCTTTTTCGGGAGGGTAATCATGCCGGGAGATCACGGTAATAACAAGTAGTGTAATAAAGGAGTCGTGATTCAAGAGAGTCAATATACAAATGAGGGCCTAGGCATTCATAGGCACGAACAGGGCTAGCCGAGAACCACGCGAACAGGTTGGGGCAGTCTGGTTGGCGAACGCTACGGAAGCTCCACGCGTTTAGGTTTGGGTTCGAAAAGTGGCTCGGGACCAAAGAAGTTGGCCGAGCCTGGACTTCCGAGAGTCGAGGGCGTACGCACTGTAGTCGAGCCCAATAAGGAAAAGGAATTTCCTTACAGAGAGTAGGTCTGAGTGCTCGATAATGAGTCACGAATGTTAACGAGTAACAAAACTATATGAAGAAATTTGAATTCTCTATGTGTACGAGATATCACCCTGGTAATTTATTTTCAAGTTTCTGTCAAACATATCTTTGTATGTTGTTATAGACTACACAGGGTTGTGCCTTAGAGAGTACAACCCACTAGGTTATATTCCCTTGTATGCCATGGTTCTAGTCATTCGTCAACTTTGATATGGTATCATGAGTAGGTTAGGTCCCCCCCGCCCACTAGCGCTTCCGCCATAGGTCCTAGCTGCCTCGTCGCCCTCCTGTCCATGCTGGCCCGTCCCCTAGGGGGCCCCGTCACCTAGCACCTAGCTGGCCCCATTGCCTAGCCGGCCCCGTCGCCTTGCCGGCCCCGTCGCCTAGTCGGCCCCATAGCCCAGCCGGCCCCGTCGCCAAGCCGGCCTCGTCGCCTAGCCAGGCCCGTCGCCCAGCCGGCCTCGCTGCCTAGTCGGCCCCGTAGCCCCGCCGGCCCCGTCGCCTAGCGGGCCCCGTTGCCCAGCTGGGCCTGCTGCCTAGTCGGCCCCGTCGCCCAGCCGGCCCCGTCGCCTAGTCGGCCCTGTCGCCGAGCCGGCCCCGTCGCCCAGCCGGCCCCGTCGCCCAGCCAGCCCCGTCGCCCAACCGGCCCCGTCGCCCAGCCAGCCCCGTCGCCTAGCCGACACCGTCGCCCAGCCAGCCCCGTCGCCCAGCCGGCCCCATCGCCTAGCCGGCCCCGTTCCTAGCCGGCCCCGTCGCCCAGCCGGCCCCATCGCCTAGCCGGCCCTGTCCCTCAGCCGGCCCGGTCGCCAAACCGGACCCGTCGCCCAGCCGGCCGCGTCGCCTAGCCGGCCCTGTCCCTAAGTTGGCCTTGTAGCCTAGCCGGCCCCTGTCGCCTAGCCGGCCCCGTCACCTCACCGCCTAGCCGGCCCCATTGCCTAGCCGCCCGCGGCCCCGTCTCCTAGCTGCCACGCGACCCCCTGTTGACCAGCCGCCCCACGGCCTTGCCGCCCAGCCTCCTCGCGGCCCCCGTCCCTCAGCTGCCCCTGCGGCCCCCACCTCGCTTCATTGGCCCTCTCCACCACGCTGCACCGCACTGCACCGCCCTGCACCGCACCGCACCACACCGCACTGCACCGCATCCTACCGCACTGCACCTCACCCTACCGCCGCCCTACCGCATTGCACCGCACCGCACCGCACACCACTGCTTCCCGTCGCACTCTGCCGTTCAGTACATCCCAATACAGCCTTTCTGCTGCTGCTGCGACCATGATGGCGGACTCGGTCCTGCGCTTTGATGCGGAGGATTTTTGACCTGCGCCACCACCTCACAGGTCAACGGCAGGACGGCCACTCCCTGGCCGTCCACATCGACGGTATGCTCCCTTGCCCTGACCCCCCTGCTGCTCTACCCGCTGACCCTTCGCCTGCTGACCGTGAGTTCGCTGCCGCTGCTGCCCTTGCCCGTGATGCCGGGTTGTCGCGTGACACTGTCGCACAGCTCGTGATTAGTCATGCCCTCCCCCTGTCTGAGCGCCCCCACTTTCAGTCGGTCAGGACAGCGCAGGAGTTCCTAGAGGCTGTTGTCGCGCGCTATTCCACCCCGCCCTCTGCCTCCGTCGGTCGCCCGATCCTGCCCATGCTCTTTCCTTATCTCGCGTCTTTCCCTACTGTCGCTGACCTGGCCG